AATCATTTCTATGGTGAAAAAACACATCCTTAGTGTCCTCAGCTCTGTAGATAAGCAACATCTGTACACTAAAAATGACTGGGGCGCAGGTGCAAACATGATGTGGCACACTGAGAACTGCAGAACTTGGTTAATCCGGACTATATACCCCAAATACATTTGATTTAGTGACTAACAACTCCACAGCTGTCTTATGTACACGTTGTGTGTCTATTTAACACAAGATATTTACTAAGCAACTTGCTGGGCTCGAAGACACAGCATCTCAGAAGCTCGGTCCACCTCACAGCATAGTTTGGAACTTGCCAGTTTTGTGACTCTGAACAAATTCAGGTGATTCTTGAACATAATGACGGCTTGTTTGCTGGCTAACAAGATCCAACACATTAGATATGCTAACATTAATAACTGCATTCAATTTAAGTGGACCAGTTTTAAGTCTCCTGCTGGGACTGGGATACTTAACAGAACTGAGCCATAATTAAGGTGATTAGTTACACCTGTGCTTTTCCTGCTTTGACAAATCAAAATGTCTGCAGTGAGAAAAAGCTGTTTAGTAGCAGATGGAAGGTATTTTTCCCTCAGTGAACGGTAGCTGTTTCCATTTTCAAAAACACTATTCAGATAGTAAAGTTAAAAACTGAAATTAAATACCTGCCTTTTTCACAGGATCACAAGCTAATTGCTGATCAAGTCGTAAGTATAGAAGAGAGTCAGAATTTTTGTATCTTCACGATGACGATGATTTTCAAAATGACTCCACTGCCAAATCTAACAGTCCCTGCTTTAACAAAACTGGTCAAGCATTTACACCTCGTTAAACCTTTTTCATTAGCTGATGCTTAAAGTGTCTTGCACACAAATAGCCTAATAACTGGTCAGGTATAAGTGAAGTCTGGGCCACATTTCCCTAAAGGCCAGCGTGATTGTGCCAATGAGGGCTGAAATGTAATACACAACCACCATCACTTGACATCTCGATCGCCCCTGCGCACACATCTGACATGACAGAGTGTGTCAGTGTCTCCCGCTGTCTCTTGACTGTGTTGTTTCCACCCATCCAGCCCTATCAGATCTCAAGAGCAAAATAAACAGAGCACAGAGGAAGAAAGAGCTCTTGAGGATGGAGTGAGGCCAAAAAGTTTACATCCTCCCCTCCCTCCAGATAAAAATCGATGCAAAGTGCCTGGGCAGCAGAATGAAACAGCAGCACTAGGTAACCATACTGAGGGTGCAATGCACACAATGTGTAAATGAGTGTGCTGCAGCATGTTCTCTTCACTCCACTCCAACACCTGCTGAAAGCATGAGTCTCACATACAGTCTCATTTATAGACTAAATAGGAAGAGTTCCATGTTCCCTGTCAGGACCACAGTTTAATATATAAAGTAGGCCTCCGAGCAAAGAAGGTATGACTTATGACACTGAGAGAAAGACACTCAGACAGAGGACACTACAGCTTTCTATACTATGGCACCAGTTAAGCCACTGCAGGTTTTCTCTATCAACACTGACAACATCAAATATGTCTGCACAAAAAGCTGAAAACCCAACATTCTTATGGCCTGAGGCAACCCGCCTCCCCTTCACAATCAACACACACATATTTTTATATAATTCCGCCGCTGATGGGATGGGAAAAAAGCGTAGTGGTTAACCTGCAGGGTAAGGACAAAGAGCAAGAGAGAGAAATAAAGGCACACAGAGCTGTAGTGTGCTGCAGATGATAAAAGATTTGATGGGTTATGTAATGAACTGCAGCTATGGCTGTGAGAGAAGAGGGAGAGATGAAAGCTAAATACAAAACACAATATAGAGCAGTAGTGCTGGTAAATACTGGCTGATCCTGTTCAGTCTCCTGAGCGCACGTGTAGTCCTAAAACTATATCTGAGGCACAGAAAGTTAAAGAAATAAGTGTGGTCTCATGTCAGAAGTGATGCAAAAACAATGTGAAAAACTAAAAAAAAAAAAATGGGAGTGGGCGATGAGCTCTTTCAGAAGCTGGCAGCAAAAACCCACCAGGGATATTATCAGTCCTGTTCTTGCTCGCTTGCACACAGGCAAAGCAAAGCACATAAGCAGGTAGTCAGGTAGTCAGGTACCCAGTAGTCAGCATTTGCTTCTTTATGAAAAATGGATCAGCCCATCAATAAGTCAGCCAAGCTCTGCGTAAACTGTCATCTGACACACAAACACACACACACCAAAATACTACTAGCCTGACTCCCATCACACGTTCAACAAGCAGTACAGACGTGAACATGTGACTTTTACATCTCTTTCCCTTCATCTTGCTGTCTCTCTCAAACACACACAGAAGAATAGCTGCACTACTCACTTGCATGTGAGACCGCTGGCTAGCTTCACCACAGCTGTATTGATGGAGAAGATCCAGTCCAGGAGCCACATGACCCAAAGGACACAAGGCTGAAGCTATGTAACACCAGTCTGTACCAAGGTTAACTTAGCAAAAGGCGAGTGGCACTTTAAAGCTTGCCTAAGACTGCTGTGACCTGGAACCAGGTCTGTTCTACTCTCCGTGGCTCTTTAACTGAACAGTGGCTGCTGCGTCCTCTCGGCACATCAGCCACAACAGAGCGACTGACACATTAGAGTGGGAGGGAAGGAGCGTGATGGGTGCAAGGGCAAGAGAGGGAGAGAGAGAGAGAGAGAGAGTTGAGGAGTAGAGTAAAGCTTGGATGCTCACCAATTGCTTGATGGTTACCGACAAAAGTGATGCATTTTCAACTGAAAGCTGTTGCACTGCATCACTGTCACTGTTGTTAAATGTGTAAAATTTTGCAGTGTTGTGGAAAATGGCTGTGTTTGTTGAGTAGGAGGATAATTCAAAAGGGGCTATACTGTTATAGAAAATTTATATTTCGGGTTCATATGTCAAAGTCAGAGGCTTTCAAATTGTGAAGTGGGAGAGTTGCAAAAGCCCATGTCGGGAAACATTTTTTTAAAAACAAGTTCCAAGTTACAGTCAACACTACAACTCACTGAATCCATGGCAACATCCCCCGAAGAATTATGTGAACTGTAGATGTTACATATGTATATATTTGCATCAGCTCTAAGTTAATCCTTGAATAAACATTAAATTACTTTACCACAACAAGCGGAGAAAATGTAGCCTTGTAACAGCCAACCCAGCTATTCTCTGGCATTATTGTATTACCTGATAATAGTCATTACTTGCATAAAAAAACTGACTAAGGAAATGAGAAAATATCACTTACATGACTCATCAACGTTGACATAACATTTTTACATCTTATTAATATTTTCTGCTTGCTCTTTCATCATGAATGACTGACAAAGTAGAAGACAAGGTGGCAAAATTGATTATGTGATCACTTCATTTGCTAAGAGACAACTGTAAAGATTGTCGAGTGACTAAGCAAAAGTAAAGCTGTTAATAGGTGAGAGGGAAACTTGCAAGACTGATGGTAGCGGTATGTGGTTGTTGACTGTGGTAAGCAAAGAAGGAGACAAAGGAAATTAAAGGAGACAGATGGGTGAAATAAGGTAACAGGACTAATGAAATGGAAGAGAAAAAATCTCACTAAACAAAAATGACATCATAATCTGCAGGTCGTTCAATATCTGCAGGTAGAACATGAAGGTGACTTCAGGACACACGTCACAGTGGTTTTATGTGGTAAATATCGTTTATCTGGGACTTGTGTATTTCTGTTATTTCTTGTGTAACGTTTCCACGTAAATAGTGAGTAACAAATACAACAGATTGTCAAAAGATAAATACAAAGACCCTCTCATCAATGAGTCGAGACAACGCAGACCTAAACAAACTTGTTCTTTGGCTGGATTCACATTTAACCACAAAAATTCCAAGCAACTATAGTGAGGAAGAAAAAGGACATTTTGACATGTGTTCTTCAGTTCTTGAACACAGCCCTGGGTGTTTCGTATAAGTGACATTTCAGGCAGGTGTACAAAAAACACCCTGGCCTGGTAAATAACACTTAGCACATGATGCAGCACGTCCATTGTTGTCATTTTGTAGGACTCCACAACAGGTGATAACTTCCAAATTAGTTCTGAATTGGTAGTGCTACCACATTTGTTACATACACATACATTTCTGTTAGCACTGGAGCTTTTTGGCAGATGTATAACATTTAACAGCTTGCATACATCACTAAATTACCTCTGCCTCAATTAAATATACAAAGGGAAATATAGAGCTTTTGTGCCTGTTTGTTGTAGCGTAGAATTGACTTGGTTCATAGTGATATTGCCATAACAAATTTAGTCACATGGATCTGCTGTTGTGGTGAAGCATGTTGAGCAATTTGCATTAATTACATCAGCTTTTTCATTTAATTTACATGTAAAAGAAAGGGTCCTAAAATCATGGTGCCTGAACTTAAAAGTTAGAATTAAATATTATTTTTGTTTGATGGGTTATGGAATGATTTTCACTGTACTTCATGTGTACCTATATATAGATTTTAAAAAAATAAATACAACGCATTTCCCTTTATCTTTCACGTAATAAATGTCAACTCAAGGCCACCTTAGAGGCCCATTGTAAACAATTGGAAAAATGGCTCTTAATATGGCAAAATCAAGCACTCAAACTACTTCACAGCATCATAGTGCTTTCAAATAGGATTGAATGACTCCCTTACTGCTGATATTACATTGCCCAAGTTATCAAATGTCAAAGTTTCTATAAATTCATGTCGTTATTTTCATCATCACTTGAATTATAATGTCACAGTACACTGTGATGCCACATCCACAAAAACCTACATCTTAACATAACACTGACAGTTACATGCTGTGAAGTGGGACAATCCCATACCACATGATTTCATTTGGGCCTGTGATTAATAATAATAATGATAGCAACGTTTTACATCCAAGTGAGAAAAGCAGCTTAACAGATCTCACAAGTGATACTTCTTGCTTTGTGTGTCCAGATCATATTGTGAGAGATAGTAAAGTGCGGGATGCTTATCAACTCACTTTTTGCCGGGTTTCCTGGGCTTTGTCCTCTTCTTCCTTGCTTGCATAGCGAGAACTAAAACGCAGAGAGAAAACAGTTAACACAAGAACTCAACTCCAAACCTCGCAGCTGCGTTATTAACACGGCGCTGTGTCGTTGTTCAAATGCGTTATGGCCATTTCATGATATTAGAGAAAGAGTACCTGATGTGCCTGGGCTGCAGGTGTAAAATACACAGTTAAAGATTACATTCGCAGCTCCAAGGGGCTAACGTTAGCAGGTAATTTAGCTGAAGTAAATAGTTAAGTAAACTGGCCTGGGCGGTGTGTTGCCCCATGTATAAGAAGAGGCATTTTAAGTTAGCTGCTAACAGTAACTTGGCGCTTTTCACTACGAATAACACACATTTTGTGCGTGTATCATGCGGAGCCCTGGTAAATCTGTTTGTACTTTTGGGGACTCTGTGCTTTACTTTTTACTATAACCTGAATCAAAATTTTGGCGCATATTTTTCCACGACCAGATGCTAGTCTAACGGCTAGAGCTAGCATACTGTTAACACCCGCATTCACTCACAGCAGAGCGCATGGTCCACTTTTACTTTTCATCAACTGTTACGTGACTTGTTATAAGATTATTTGTTACACTCCTTATGGCAATTAACTGGTCAGATAAATGGCCGGAAGAAAAGCGTGTGTAATACAAGTGCTAAGTGTTAAAAGCGTTTTGGTTTAGTTAGCAACGGTACCTTTTCTTTCCATGCTGGTTACCAGTCAAGGGATGAGCTGCGTTCACGGACTCTTGGAAATTGTGCAACTCTAAAATGCGCGAAATTGAACAAACCAACAGAGTGGTATACAGTATAGGGGGCGGAGTGTATGGAAAAGGTCAACAGCTGGCGGCATTGTGAAATGTACGGTATCTTTGTGGGAATACACTGAAACATTTTCCAAATTAATATAGCCCATTTTCTCATCTGTCGTTTTGTAGCTGCAGAACATCAAGGCACTGAGACATTCACGTACTAAAAAAGGGTCTAGGAATTGTCATGACCGGACTGATATGTGAAACCCACTGTCATCTGTGCGCTATGTCTCTATGTATATTGTTGTCTTCGGGGTTTATGTTAAAGCCAGTGCAACAAGTTCTCCTGTGGAATGTTAACAATGTGTTTATTTGTGGTAATTTAATTTTAGGGAAAAATTAACTTTGAGATTAAATATAAACTAAAATAGTAAACAGCATGGAAGTACATTTTAACAAATGGCCACAGCATTTGTTAATAATAATGCAGCTCATCAGTTGATTTTGTGTTGATTAGCTCTTGGGGCCTCAGGGCAACTGCCAGCTTTGCCCTGGTGGTACTCCAGCCTTGGAGATTGTTACCCAGTTATTTGCTTTCATGGCTGTCACAGTGACAATTTACCTATTATTTACATTGCAAGTTAAAGTACTTTCTAAATCTAGTATATGTCTTTCAGACAATCAATAGATATCGCCTATCTAATTTTAATCAAACTATGTTGTCATGCAGGTGAAAATAAAATGAGCCCTGTCTCACAAACAAACATGAGCTGCACGAACCATAAGTTACTGGTCATACCAGACCAAAGAAGACTGTAGCTGCACACCCCTGCATGTACTGAACTGAGCAAGGCTGCATTTTGTTCATTATGAATTGAACTTTTCATTCAAGAGGAAGAATGTTATTTCAGCTTTCAACAGTGTCACTTTAAGTCATAATTTCAATTTAATATGTCATATTTTTTCACCACCAGAAGGTAACATCAAGGCAGCCAACAACCTGTATGCAGAAGTGTGTCTATAATTTGTGCTATATGGTGTAGGAGTCTCAATGAAATTCTCCCGAAACGCTGGACTCAGATAATGGTGCTGAAAGCTGGTGAAAGATACCAAGGAAATAAATAGATTTTTTTTTTTATCAGTTGTCTTCATTTATTCATTTACCCTTGCACTGCCTGACTACTAGTAATATAGTTGTACGTGCACATTGTCAACAGTGGGGATTGGGATTCTGCCTTTGTGTATGCATGCAAGTACCCTTATTTGTGTGCCTCGTGTTTTCTTTTAATCTGTAAAGTGTGCAAAGACTAATTGGGCGATTTTACAGTATAAATAAACTGAAGTTAAAATATTATTTAGAATAATAATCCCTATATTTCTGTTTTGCTTCACTTTCCTTCCCTTCAGTTTTGGTCATCCTAGATGTTTCCCTCTATTTGTGCTATGCTGCCGCCCAGTGGTGGGATACTTGACAGCTAAAACGAAACACGATGTACAGTACATTGTTACAGGTTTGAAAAATAGTAGTCTTTATTTTCTAATGGTGGTATTTACAGGTGGTGTGGCCTGCTGTCTTGGTACATGTGATAAAGAACATAGTAAAAAGATATGAACACATCTCAGGCAAATAAAGCATAACCAATAACCAAATTAACTGCCGACACTGGGATATGGACAAGATAAATATCCTATATAATCAATGCAGTTCTTTTAAAATGACAAAGTATGAGGCTTCAGCATTGCCCTTCAGCATCCAGTGAGTAAACGTACACTCTTTTCCACAAACGTGCCCTACAAAATTTTTCAAATGAATGACAAATATGGTTCTAGCATTGCTCATAAAAACAATCAATATTACAGAATATTACCATCAAATCTTGATTTAACACACAATAAAATAATACATTAGAAAAAGGACTACATGAAAACAAAGTTACATGAAAGCAGTTGCAAATGAAATTGTGAAGACACCGATATCATTGGTTGACTTAACCGGAGCAACTGTGGATATAGCTTGTATGTCACATGAGAGTGCGGTTTGATTTCTAAAATTGTTCACATTTTCTTAATAAATGTTTTCACACTTCAACATGAGGAGTCTACAGTGGTTTGTTGGTTAATGTTGAATTGTAATACTTAATTTTTCCTTGATTTCTAGATATGTTTTCTATTGCCTTTTTCTTTGAAAACAGAATAATTTTGGAAGGCAGTACCTCAGGGAACACAATAAGATAAATACATTTTCAGCAACTCTTTAAAAACTCAGAACTAATGAGAAACAACTGCAAGATGTGCAGAGTTTGTCGGAAAGATTTAAACTGATATGGTTGTCCGCAACAAGTTAATGACATTGTTGGCTCTGATACACAAGCTGTAACTGCAGTCACCATGGCTCAACTGACATATGAGATTATTGATGTTGATGTTATTGATACATTTGGTTTCTGATACAGTAAGCTCTCCATAAATAATAAAAGGAACCTTAAATTCTGACAAATAATATTCTCTTTTACATCGATATACAAACAACATAACAAAAGATCATAAATACAGGGCAAACTGTCGCCCCCAACATTCAACATTAATAGTACTGTGTTTTATAAATGCAATATGATTAAATTACATTGTCAGTTGATGTTGAGATGGAAAACATCAAAATAATAAACTACTAAGCCTAATCTGGCTTTATCATGCTGAAGTGGTCCTGTCATTGACTATTTGCTAAAACATTCTTATGAAACGACAACACAGAAGTGCTAAAAGAATTGATATGGAAGAAAGGAGTGGAAATTTAACAAAATGTTTAAAGGGTGATACATAAGCCATACTCTCCAAACTCAGATTTTTGTTAAAAATGGGACACTGTAACTCAAATCCAACAATAAGAAATATGAAGCTTTGAATTTTCCTTTTACAAGTGAATATTTCACATTTTAGCCTATTCTGTACACATGTATAATAAATTACATACTGTATCTTTTATGTAATTTTAGGCTAAACTATAGTAATAAAATTCATACTGTCAAAGGGGTCAGCTGAGGTGTTTCCCAGCAAATAATGACTATTACACACATATGGTAACTGTTTTGTCTGATGTACTTCTGTACAAATACTGTTTGCTGTGATATTTACACAGTTCTGTGCACTGATAGATATAACATTTAATTTAATGTATGGAGAAAAGATCAACTTTAGACACGTCATGGTTTCAAACTTTTCCTACAGTATTAATTACTTCTAAGGAGTACAGCTTACTAAAATACATATCAGCAGTTCAATTTCTCCAATTTGCTTTAAGATACTGACATGTAATTTCTAGTTGAATCAAAGAGGGGGCACAATATAAATAATAAATGTCTGGGGCAAAAACTCACTAAAAATATAAGGAGAATTAAAGTCTGCCTCAGCACATTGGGATGCAAGGTAAAAAAAAAAAAAACAGCAAAGTTGGGGGGCGGGATGAACAGGATGTAGAGTTTTATCTCTGATATCGCAACGTCCCCCAGAGATGAATGACGGCAGGCACTTGAATGTCATGGTTGTGCATGTGTGCGAGGACAGTGGTGGATAGTCACATAAGACTGATAGTCCTTAAAGAGTCTCTCTTGGAAAACGAATGATGGAAGAAAAGGTGCCTCCTCCTCAGGATTCCATCTCGTCTCCATCAAACGATGGTGGCACAAAGCTGAGTACCTCCTCGTAGGTTAATTCTTAGAAAAATAAAGCAGGATTTATACAAATTATTTACCAATATATAGAACATATAACTTAAGTCTATCCATTTTCAACTCAAATGATAGCCTAGGAATCCACAAAGTGCTAACTTACTCTTCCATTCTTCAATTTCCAGCTCACGGCTTTCAAAGCTCTGGTCGTAAGGCTCTGCTTCAGGCTCGTCGTCTGGATCGTGGTACTGGGCAAAGTACGGATGGGCAAGAGCCTCAGTCGCTGTGATCCGCTTGTCTGTGTCCAACACCAGCATTTTCTCCAGCAAGTCCACCGCTTTAACACAAGCAGCGATGAGAGGTGGTGAGTATGAGAGAAAGTACAAGACAGAGCACAAAAGTAAATGGGCAAAGAGCAAACTTAAAAAAAAGTAGCACCCATCAGTGAGTTACCCATCAGTCTGTATGACTTCATGTTTGCTACTCGTGGTTCATTTGTAAAAAAGTACAATCTGGACAAATTAAAATGCATAATTTTTTTCTCTTGATCTGGACCAAATGAACCAAGCTGCAGGTGTGAGAGCACTTTAACATTCATGGATAAGTGTTAAAACAGTAATTTCATAGCTATGTACAGAATCTTTCATACTGTGTCATTAAACATGTACAGTAATTGAGGTTAACCCTCCCAAAAAAGTGTCTTTTCGATACCACTAGAGGGACTCAGTGAGCCAGGAGCTTTGGAAGTCAGAGCCTGATGGTGAGAAGGGAACTTACCAAGAGGGTTGGCACCAATGAACACATCAGCAAAGTTCCTCTTGGGCATGTGAGGAAGTGAGTTAATGTAGTTCCTTGCCTGCAAGAAACGATGAACAAAACTGTGAAACATCTTAAAGACATTGGGTAGTTAAAGGCCTTTATAATGCTACAGCTAAAAACTGGACAACTTTTCACATACTTAATTTACTAAATTTACCTGAAGCAATAATATACTGTGCATCTTTAATCATCTTTCATCACTTTAATCAACACCGAAATCAAAACGAATGAACAAATATTGTGCCCTAATTTTCAGAATCAAGATGTGTTACCAATGCAACAGACAGCTCGTCAGAATACACTGGCTGCACTGGCAAAGCACTTTGGGAAGCCTTGCTGTAACAAGCACGGTGAGTCAGAGAGGAAACAGAATAAGTGGAGTGAGAGCAGAGGCTGATATGCAGAAAAAGACTGGTAGGAAATGTTTTAAATACATCAATTCTAACAGTTCTAACGGTATCTATCTGTAAACAGGAATGTGGGTATGCAGGATGACGGACGGCTGCTGCTCAGCCCCCGATACCAAATGGGGGGAGAGCTGGGGCACATGGGAAGGCGGAGGGCACATGTCTCACCTCATGGCTGGGCATCCTGCTTATGAGGGAGGCTGGGGGTGTCCCCGTCAGGCGCATTATCTGCTGCAGCTGGTTTATATCTACAGCCTCTGAGTCAAGGGGCATCATAACATGGAGGTCAGCATGTCAAAGAGCATGGGTAGTTCGTGTATGGTGGGGTTAAAAAATTAGGAGGAGGGGAGGGTGGGGGGTGGGGGGTGGGGCACACAAGGGGTAAAGGATGAAGAGGATGGAAGAGGGAGGAAGACAGTTTCTGAGCTTTGATTTACAGCTTCCCTTGACTGTTTTTAACTGTATTATAATGAGAGATTTATGGACACTGTAACCCAGTGCTGCACCAGAGGCCTCTTACCGTCTCATATAAAGAGCTTAGTAGACTGTAAGAAGTCATAGTACATGCTAAAGATAAGTGGGAATCAAAGCCTTGTGCTGAAGTGCAAATGAAGCCATTTAGAAAACACACACTTTCAGAGTGCAGCTTAGAGGTGGTAGCATCAATACAAAGTAGTAGAGTAGACTGTCTGATCTCTTGCCAGGGCAACATGGAGGCAACACAGACACAGGCAGGAGGGGCAGTGCAGCAAAACTAGGTGGGATGGTACTTGACACTCACTGACTCCGAAGAGATTTTCATCAAGAGTTCAGGCCCTGGGGTTCCGACGAGCATCATTATAAGCTTCAACTGATCAATGTCTACCACACTCACATGAAGGAAAACAGGAGGAATGGAAGGTATTGGATAAGGAGAGAGGGGTGAGAGGTACAACAGAACTGCAATCATTGCAGTTCTACAAGTAAGGTACCCGAGAAGTGTAAGCAAACACCATGCTAAACTGCATTTTCACAGTCCGTGAATTGCTCCCTGATCTGATCTGGCCATATCAGTGTCTGCTTCTCACAAACTACACCAAACCCAGCCTGATGAAAGTATATGTATCTGAGCTATTACTGAATTTCTAAAGTGTCAGCCATCACTAGTACATTAATATAAGTGTGTTGTCCATCCTCTATATCTTTAAATCAATACAAAAAGGAGTTAATAGTGTGCACAGCTCCTGCACACGGCACCTGTAATTATATTGTGTGGGAGCTTCTAAGATGCCAGAGCTCATTTTTGATTTCTTGCTCTGTCAGATTTCCTCCCACACACCTGTAGCCTCAATACACACGAGCAGAGCTCACCTTTCATTGAGACAGACCAGAAAGACTGCTGTGTATCCAACTAAGCTTTGTGAGTGGGCAGCTCTACCACCTCTTTTGGAAATTTAAATTTGGTGAGAGGGCACACATTTAAAAACACACACACGCACGCACGCACACACGCACGCACACACACACACACACACACACACAAAGCATGCAGTGAAGGAGTGGAAGGTTTGATTGATCATTTAGAGCAGGAATCACAAACACATTATGCAACAGCCAACTCATGTTTTTCATCTTAAACAGGACCATGGCCAAAGAGGTGTGTTTGCCAACTTCTCAATTTTGAGTGTGTGTGTGTGTGTGTGTGTCATAATTACACTGTGTCTTCCTGTGAGTTTTTGTGTTGAAACATCTGAATGCTCAGCTGCTGTGTATGGGAAGCTTTGTGGGAGGGAAACAGGAAGGTGTGCTGTATTGTGGAGAAACAGTGGAGAAAACAGCGGGCAGCGGTGAATCATAACCCACAGAGGGCTCTAAGTTCTATCACATTCACACCAACGCACACGCACCAATGTGCATGCACACGCGCGTGCGCGCACACACACACACACACACACACACACTTCCTTGACTATTCTGGCATGTAGCTCACAAAATTCAATACTCACCACAGCTTTTGAGTCAGCTTGAAGTCAGTAAAATAGTGTGTTTGAAACCCTGTGGTGTTCGCAACAAAGCAACATTTTGTGTCTCATGCAGCTTCTGTAAATCACAAGTATATACAAGTATATACAAAAGAGAGCAGATTGCATCCATCTACTACCTCTTCAAGTAGCACCCAATACCTACAAACTGACTCCAAAAAGCCATTTTATTTTTGCATGGCAGTGACAGTGGTGGAAGGATACGGTCTGTACCAGGGAAGAGCGTCCGTCCAGTGAGTAGTTCAGCCATGATGCAGCCCACCGACCAGATATCCACTATTAAAATAAAAAAATATGCAGCATGGTGAATACTTTAGAACAAGCTACAACTTACCTACTTCATATTCAGTATCAGTTACATTACATTTATCTGAAAGTCTCTTTTGTCCAAAGTGACTTTTTAAATTTCACAAGCTCGGGTGCAATAAGGCTGCACAGGGGACACATATGGATTTCAGTTTGCAATGTTCAACACAAGGCTCTTTAATACTTGTGGTGAGCTCAACAATTCAGCATGCCTTTTTTTTCCAGAATCTGTTTAACATTTGCTGTTGAGCTGCGAAACAAATAATGGATAAAGCAGAACTTTGTTTTATTCTAAAATCCTGGCAACAGAAACCAAACATTTCTGGTGAAAAAAATGCTACATCTGCCAAGTGTAGTATTATATTCTTAAAATTATGATGTGGAGTAAAAAACTTTCACCAGCTGTTGGCACAGCAAAATGCAACATAAATCATTTATTTGACCAATTATATCAACGTCACATCGTCATGTAAGACAAGTTTAAAGAATTAGCAGAATCAAATGCCATCCAGCAAGGAACACGTCTGCTTTGGACGCTCTGGCTAGTGCTGCACCTTAACATCATGATGAATAAGGCAGAAAATTGAAAAGCTGTCCTAGTTCCTCTAAAATCACCCTCATCATTTCTTGTGTAACAAATACTTAACGAGTGATGCCAGAGAAGAAAAAGCTAAATATATCTGCTGAAATTATGTTTTTTATGTCAGCAGACAACAAACAACAAAAAACCCAATGTTATTTTTTTTTCTCCATTATTGTTCAAGCCCCTTTGTCAAATCAAACCCTAAACACACAGATGTTAGAAAGCTATTTCTACACAATTTCAATTATGTGAAATCAGACAAGATGTAATGTTGCATTCGGCTGCAGCCCAAAATAATTATGACTGTATGTCTGTGTGTACCTGTCATGTTGTAGTGCATCCAGTTGAGCATGATCTCTGGGGCTCGGTACCACCGGGTAGCTACGTAGCCTGTCATTTCATCATCTGTGTGCCGCGCCAAACCAAAGTCCAGGATCTGCATGAAGTGATGTTTGTTTGTAAAAGTAGCAAAAGTGAACAGAGAGAAAAGAAGGTAAGGAGACAGCTTCCACTTAATGATCAGTTAAGTCATAGACAGTGAAAATTGTTGTAAGTCCACCATTTCTGACCTTGAGCTCACAGTCTTCATTCACGGCCAGATTACTGGGCTTCAGGTCCTAAGGAGAAGAGAGGCAGGACAGAAGTCATCCCGCTGCCATTGTTATGCACATCTTTCTCCTTGTAAATGTTTGTCAAACACCTTATCACTGATCCACTTTCAAAAGGTTTGATCAGTATAGGAAATGTATTCTCTGGACAAAAGAAAAAAAAAAAAAAAAAACTTATTCAACTTCAAGCTCATGCATCAGGGTCATCACTTACTCTGTGGATGATATCAGCAGAATGGATGTACTGTGGGAGAAAAGAAAATAATGATGACTTACAACTTAATAGCTGACAGTGTTTGCAATACAGATACAGGACTTAGAAAAACTACAATATGTGCCACACTGTTTTATGTTTACAGTAACTTCAGTCTCAAATACCTTGACAGTGGTCAGTTTTAGTTTGGGGTTACTGTGTCAGATTTCAAAGGTCAAATTACAGAAAATATATTAAAAAAAAGGCCAATTCTGGTTCAATGGTTCAATTCAATCAGTTAGACTAACAGACAACAGTTTCCTACTGAATCTCCAGAATGATTCCACATCTACTCTATCAAATCTCCTGACAAAGGACAAGTTAGTATCTTAACTTCCGGTATCAAGCTGAAGAAATGGTGTCGCTAATGGTGTTCACCATGGTGTTCACTAACCTTTAAGCCTCTGAGAATCTGGTAGATGAGGAACTGGACGTGGTCATCAGTCAGCTTCTGACACTTGACTATGTTGTTGAGGTCTGCCCCCATTAGGTGGGTCACCAAGTACCTGCAAATCATACAGCCAATCAGATATGGTCTCCAAATGTCAGTATGTCTGCCTCCATCTTCTGAAGCTTTCTTTAATTCATGTTTGGTGCCTTCACTGTCCCTCTTACTGACTATTATTACTTGTGGTGTTATGATCCATAAAGCACTTTGTTTAGAAAAGACATGTTAATAGAATAACTTTCTGCTCTAATAACATAATTAAACATGAGTTCATTTTAAGGGTTCTACATTACTATTTTGTGTAAGTATGCCTGTATTGTATGAAAATTCGTGGTTCACGCATAACTCATTCTTGCTTTAAGAAAGGAAGAATGGGGAAGGAACTGGTGGTAAAAAGGGAAAGGCAGAATTGTTTCACTCTTTTCTTGATAGTGGAAAGCCAACACATCAGCAAAAGAAGGCCAACTGTAGCACAAGTGTTTATGTGAAGTCTGTGCTTGGTATATCTGCTCCATCTGACCCCATTCTACAACAAGACATTGACCTGTGAGCATCGTGCATGCATCTGCCTCTCTTACAGTTCACTATAAGGATTCATTTTACCACGTTTCTGTCTGTATTACTGGTCACCTGAAAGAGAAATGTCAGTCTGTATAGCTCCACTTCAGTGCCAGGAGTCTGCGTTTGTGTGCGTCTCTGTTTGTAGGTCCATCTCACACTTCCACAAATGTGCAACATGTTGATGACGCCACAGCACGCAGACAACGGAGAATTCAAGGACACTGATTGAGCATTCCACACACACACACACACACACACACACACACACACACACACACACACACACACACACACACACACACACACACACACACACACACACACCCGAGAGACAGCCAGATGCCTTTCACCATGGAGACTAGCTGTGATGTGCACAGCGCACATGTTCCCCCTCCATTCACCTTGGTACAATGCGCCACATGCCGGACTTGCATGAAGTTTATGAGCTGCAGGATTACAATGTGTTTGTAACTCTAGTGTCAGCTCTGTGTTAGTCTTGCAATCATCTGCCAATGTGAAGGGTTTCACTGTGTTACAATGAGAGAAATTAAAACTACAGAGGCTCAGATGGTAGGGAGGCAGAGAAATGGACTTCAAATACAAACACCAAGGAGTCAGAGAAGAAGAAAAAAACTGAAGGATGGGAGTGAAAGGGAGAGAAAAAGTGACTTACACATCATTGAACTCCTCTAAGCTTGTCGCTGGTGTGAAAACATCTAATAGGCCAATCACCTGAAGGCAAAAAGAGAGATCGAGAGGTCAGAAAACATTCACACAAATGATTTTGTGTGACTGAGATTCCAAATGAACAAAAACAGTTTTCATTTGGTGTTCTATAAACAACCACTTGATAACTTGGGACATCATCAGCATGCACGTCTTTAATATAAAAACATGTGCTACTTCCTCCCTGATACCACAATCACCACAGTTGTTGTTTGTTGATAAGCACAACACACAGACAGTCCCCAAGTATGACATTTCTACCTTTTCTACAGAATCAAAGTACTTGATGTTCTCCCATTCTGCAATATCTCAAGTTTCATTTGTTTGAGTCAAACAAGCAGGGAATTCCTGCCTTGCTGCACTACTCAAGTTTCAAGGACGCTAGGTTATCCTTTCACCCCGTTTTGGGCATGAAGTGATTAAATCACATACATTTGGCTGATAAACACGAGATACATAATTTCAGAGGAAGCAGTAGACATTATCTGATGAAGTCTGTGCATTGACGAGACACTACAGGCGTGTGAACAAAGAAAATATAAATTTGAGAGGAATGTGTCACGTTAGATTGAGGTACATCTAACTGGTTTCCCATGCTTGTTTCAACAATGGCTAATTGTTTGCTTTTCATCACAGACATTAAAAAGGCTTTAGGGACTATGTGTGTTGGCATGTTCTTTCCCCTGCTACGCATGCCACTTGCAAGATATGCGAGTTTGTGACTGCATGACAGGAAAACCATATATAATGTGTGAAACAAACAAAATATGACAGGCTGCATATAAAGATCACTTAGATCATGTACATAAAAAGCTTGTTTTATGCAATGTCTTGGTTTGAAGAAAATGAAAGACAGACTCAGGACAAAGAAGAAACATTAGAGGATAATGAAATGTATTTGTGTGTTTATCTTCAGTAACTGCGTATGCACACATTCATGCATGCACATATAGACACAGACACACTGGCAGAGAGCAGCGCTGAGCACCCCCACCCCCTGGTGAAAGAGAGTGAGGTTGATAGGTATTGTAAAAACACAGGAGCAGCCCGCCCACACAGGGCACAAACCCAAAGCTGATTGGTGGACTGAAGCCACAACAAACAGCTGATTGGTTCACTCAGGCTTTCCAAAAATCCAAAGCCAGGGAGTCTCCTGGCAACAGTGTGAGCAAAACACAGATTCACTCTCTATGTAAAGCATAGGTGGGGATTAAAACACTTTGATGCTTTAAGAACAAAAAAGCACAGCTTTACGCAATTTTTCCTGTTATGATGAAACAGAACCTGACGACAACATGCTCATTAATGATCACAAATTGCAAAATAACCTTTTAAGTAAGATGACTGCACCACAACACTATACAATGGCAAAGGCAGTGTTTTACTGACATTGACAGCTTTCATTGTGCACAATGATACAGGCTCTGATTCTATATAATCCAGAAAACTTGTTTGCACTGAGGTATTTTACCAGAAGTACCAGTGCACCATGCAACACTATTTACCAAACAAGAGAGTTCAATCTGTTTCAGCAGTGAAATAAAGGTTGGTAAAGAAAACAGGATCCGGGAATAGTAATGTGTTGTGAGTGCTGAGCTGAGCATGCAAGAACTGAATATGAGATATGATGTTTCATATGGAACCTTTTTTTTTCAGTATGGGTGGCAAGCGGCATGTGGTGTTCTTTACATAAATTGCTTCCTCTTGGCCACTTGTCTAAACACATGCATGCAAAAACTGTGTTTTCTTTTTGGTCACATTTAAATAAATCAGAGCATCCAGAAGTAACTTGAAATCAGTCATATTTTTAAAGTTACTTCTGCATGCTAAGAGTGTCAACAATCCCAAATCTGATCTCTTGTTAATAACTTAACACTCAGTCATTTATCAGGCTGATGACACACCAGCATATGTTAGTGTCTAGAGTCGGTGAATAGTCGATGCATGAATTCCATGGTGTGTGTGTGTGTGTAATGAGTTCTTCAAGGCAATCAGGCAAGGTAAGATAATGTTCATTTGAAATTACATTAACTTCCTAAAGTTGGGCTTTCATTTCACTGTGAGATCGGCTATACTTTTGGTGTGTAACTGCTGCTGGTGGGTTTTCCCCTTTGAGATGTTCCATAATTCTTCAAGCTGCAGTTTCTTTTTTTCTCTATGAGTGCGTCATCTAAAACTGCTTCACTTCACTGTGCCTGCAGGTTGATGAGACAAGAGAAAGTAGCAGTGTACCCCATCATTCATCACTAGGCTCTCATAACAAGCCATTTCTACCTATTACATTAGCTAACAGTGAATTACTGGGCAAACTTTATATGCAAATCTCCCCCTTTATCCCTCTAAAAAAGACCCCAGCAGAACCAACTGAAACTTATCTACTCACACACTGATACATACCAATCACCAGCTGATCCCACACAGCATACAGAAACCAATCACTTGCACTTCAAATTGAGGAATCATACAACTGCCATTACATAACACATAAGGATCCTCTCTATTTGTTCGAAATGTTAGCTGAATGCAGCAGTAGCACACAGGAACTGGGACTGTGTTTGTGTTTAGTATGTGGGCAAATGTCTGTATGCACGGTACCTTCACAGGCACACAAGAGACTCAGAAAACCAGAACCACAGCAGTGATTGCTGGAGGGTAACTAAAGCCAGTGGGCAAAAAGATGAGAAGTAAAATTGAAGGAATCAAAATTGATGCAGCAACAAAATAAGATGAAACAACAGAAAGTGATGGGACTGAAGCTGTTAACCTGTTTGGTGACTCGCTGCTCATGGAGTAGTTCCCTTTGATCACTTACATGGAAACGCTCGTCTCACAGGACATCGCCCCCCCGGCGCACACACTTTATTGAGGCCAGTGCGATCATGTTTGTTTATGTTGCCATATGTGAAACTAACACAAGAAACCACTTTATGCTTCATAACAGTTTGTTGCTTTTTCATAAATCCACCTATACTGTTCAGCTCCTGTTGTTGTGGTGTGGCCAGGAGGGATTTCACAGTCAGCTGGAGGGACAGTGAGGTGTTGGGTTGCACATCCAGCTCTACTCTATAGCTTAGCCTCCTTTTCTAGACCTTGAATGTTTACAGAGTGGATTAGTTTGTTTAGCGATGTATGCACATACCATGTATAGATTGCATTACAGTGTCTTCAAACAGGATTTTGCTTACCTTCTTTACAAAAAGAGTCTGTGTGAATGGAAATGGGACTTTTCTAGTAGCTCAAAGTTCAATTTTTTACACTCAAAATTTGAACAATCATTTGCAGAAATCTGACATCAAACAGATGTGTTTACTGGTTTCAGTTTCTAGTTATGTACTAGTACTAGTTATATACTATTATGTCACGTGGGTGTCCATACACAAAGTCACATTTCTGAAAGCAGAGCTAAATAAGCTTCAACCATCTTATGCTGCAAATAAAACACATAACATTATAGGCAACTGGAAGTAGTGACTGGTTTTGCAGTCTTTTCCTTCAGAGTTAATCTACAGAACAATGCATATACTGTACACAGGAGTCCGACTGGCCAGAGATTTAAGGCCGGGGGTGGAGGTAGCGGTGGGCTGACTACAGGTGACTTACATTCTCGTGCTTCATGTGTTTGAGCAGCCGCAGCTCTCTGTAGGTTCTCTTTGCGTGGATGATGGACTGGAAGGGTCTAGACAACTTCTTCACAGCTACCTTCAGGTCTGTTTTCACATCATACGCTGAACTGAAAAAGAAAAGAAAAAAAGAAACATGTAGTCGAAAGCGATTAGCAGTAAAAAAAAAAAAAAAAAACTCATTACATCAGGCTAATAACAATTGTCATACAACAACCTGAAACATTTCCCTCGATTTAACTGATGATGAGGTACTTCACTAGACTGCGTAGGTAGCCAGAACCCAGTAAACAAAGCACAAGTAATTGCATAACACTGAGCTCTTGGTTTCGCTTCTTATTATACTCTGCAGGCTGTATGGGGAACATGACTGAACATGTTATTAAATATCAACAGTATTATATACAACACAAGAGTGTGAAAACCCACCACTTGTTTACAAAAAAAAAAAAAAAAAAAAACATATCAGACAACATGATAGTCAGCGAACATTTGGTTACATGAAGCAGTGTTCAGACAGAGGCAGACAATCCTTTTTTTATATTCATGTTGTTTACATGTTCCTGGATATTGGCTCCATAAATATAACTCAACCTCAACTGTCTGGCTTAGCACATGATGTCCAATACCACATGACACTGGGTTCTCAAAATCTGTTATTACAACTCCATAAGAATTTCATATTCTTAATTCTTTAAAAAAAATGCTCTGCTGACTTCTACATGTCTGTTAATAGAAGCAATCCATGTTAGTGTCTTGTTGTTCCAGTTATAAAAGCACTGAGGTATTACAACATATCGAAACAGGAACAAACAAAGACATTAAAAAAATGTCAGGTAATTATCTTTGTGACCCAGTTTTCCCTTAGTGACTGAATAAAATCAAATTAATCAAAATCAGCACCTGCCCTGTGATTCTGCTGGAGCTGTACGAGAGAGTACGCATGGCTGTGTTTGATTTGGTCCTCATTCATTATTTCACTCATTTCATTATAATGATGTAACAGAATACCCAACTATCAGCATAGAGCCAGTGCAAAAGAAAAAAGAAGAAGAAAAAAGTAGGTGTGGCAGAAAGAACATGGACAAACAAAGTGTAACATAAAAGCTGAAAGTGAAATGGGCTCCTGTTGTATTGTGGCAAAATAAACCTCAAGTGAGCAGTGTTACTAAAAACTGCAGAACACAGTCTAAGGATAGAAACAAGCCATGATTTTGCCAGGATTTAAAAAAAAAAAAAAAAAAAAAAAAAAAAAAGAAAGACGCAGACAGACACAAAGACACTGTGAGGGCAGTAGAGAGTGAGAGAGAGGCAGATGGGCCTTGCCTCCCCAAGAAGCGTGACATTGCTACATTTCCTGTACTGTGAGGGAACACAACCCACTTACAATAAACCACATTCCTTCCAGGTCAATCACTTGAGCTAAATTGCAAATGGATGATTGCAAAATCAGTCCAAAAAAAAAAAAAAAAAAAATCTGTGCTCAGTTTTGTGCAGACACATACCGTTTCCTCCCACTGTGGTCTAACCTTGTGGGGGGTGTAAACTTAAACTGAGGGGTTTACTTTTTTTTCCCCCCATCAAAACTGCTTTTGCAACCTGAATCAAACACAAACTGAATCCAGTGGAGGAGCTGCAGGGAGTAGTCAAAACGTCTTTATACAAAGGAGCTAACCACTAACACTACCTGAACTACCTGAACTACTGACCCAGTCTGACTTCAGCTCAAGGCCGTGTCAACACTACATGTTACAGGAGAAGATGAAAATCATTTCCTCTCTGAATATGTTTTACAAACTGATTGAAAGATCTGAACCGATGACCTTTTTAATGCATATGACTGGGAGCTCCTATGTTTTAGATTATAATAATGTGTTGGTGATTAAGTTATAATCCTGAGTGCCACGAATCCATAGTGAGAACATTAAGATAAGCAGCGTGTTTTTTCCAGTAAGAGAGAGAGATAATCTTCCACACCCAGTGTACTCTATGTTCCTGGCTTGCAGAACAACTTTTATATATGTCACTTGTGGAGGAAAACTCAGACTCAGTAAACAAAGACTACACCAAAAGTAAATGACAAAACAAAGTCACATGTACACTGTCTTTAAAACTCCTGCTAATCTGCAGGACAAACAAGACGGCTCTAAGCATACACCACACAATTAGTCTGTAATAAATGGAAGTGCAATAACAAATGGCCATAAAAATGTGGGCTGTAAAAGCAGCAACGTTTTGAGGTCAGCATCATGGAGAAGCAGTGATCATCCACAGTATGTTGACTAACAGACAAAGTTACTGCACAGGCAAATGTGAACTGTAGATGACTTTTTGATGTGTGAAGTAAGTGTACCTTCCTTCCTCTTTCCTTCAATTCACTCATCTCAGAAATGAAGTTCACAAGAAATTCAAGGGAGAGGATAAAAGGCTGTTGTGTAAAATTGTCATCAATTACCCACGATTGAGGAAATAAATGTTTACACCAGAGTCAAAACTGTGATGGACTTGTTGTACAGCTTTTAGTTAAGATTAACTGATGCATGAATGGTGTTTTTCTCTCCCTTGTCCAATCTGCACATACTGTACATGTATGCATAAATTTCCCTTTCAGAGTCTGATACGTGGGTACATTTATGCTGACAATCATGGCTGGTACACACACACACACACACACTTGTAAAATTTGAGTAATTTACATAGTAAGTGTAACCATGAGCCTAAACTTATATCATATATATATATATATATCTGTAAACTGGTGACAAACTTTCAAAAAACCCAGTGAATAGCATGTTTTTATCCATCTAATCATCATTACAACTTTTGCTATTAAATCTGATGTCAAAGTCAGAACCATATTACAAGCATATACTCGACAGAACAGACATGTTGAAGACCAGCACAACAGGGAGAAAATAGCCAAAACATCTGCATGCATGTTAAAATGATTAATAGTGAGATGAAGCAGTGATCAGTTCCACATTCCCTGTCGTCATCTTGCTTTCCTGTAGCTGGAGACACATCATGATGATGTGAGATCTAAATCTTCAACTGTAAACCTTCTGCTATGCACTCAATGACCTAAGGCACAGTAATGCTTCTCACAATACCTTAATTCATTTGTGCCACTCACACACATCAATGTTAGAAGGTAAATGGGTTTTACTGATCTCTTTTCAGTGTACATATGGCAGGCATACTGATTTAATAATACAGCTCTAATAAAAAAATGCTTAGCATGGTAATAACCTTAGTGCATGTAAAACAACCTGGTTAAAGTGTTTACATAGCAAAAGCAATAATCTCAGCTGTAATCAAATTATTACATGGCATTTAAACACACTAATTTTCCGATCTGCTCTGCAAACAGAGATACTGATTAAAGTAAACTCCTCAACTATCCCTCCTCCATTTCCCAGATAAACTTGTGGTTTCTGCAGTTCTGCTTGGAAGTTTGAAAATCAAGTCTGAGAAGTATTTAAATGCCGTGTCCACTTGATCTTTGAAATGAAGTTGACTGACAACAAGTAACATATGCTTCAACTTTTCAAACTAAACTAAAAGTTGCTCTTCATCTGTGACTAGTTCAGATACAGTGGTTAGACTTTTAAACAACACTTAAACAAGTATGAGTCTCCAGTTTATCCACTTTGCCTGTGTTTTTTAAATGTTTTATAGATTTGTAAACTCATAGCTTTCATAGGCAAATTGTAAGGAGCCTGGCCAGCCTGTCCACTGCTTAGGGATGAGAATCGAGAACCGGTTCCAGTTGAGAAGCGGTTCTAAATAGTCAAAACCATCAGAGTGGTATGCCTCCGAGCTTATCAATTCCTTTTAACAATGAGTGTTTTACTGACAGCTGTGCATTGCAAAACAATGGCATCAAACTCATGCGTCTACGCTGCTGGAAACTTGCAACAAGGAGGAGTCACAGCAGAGAGGAAGAAATCCAAAACGTGGCCTCATTTCACTAAGAAACATGATGACAGTGCTAGTTGTAATGCGTGTATGGTAATTTCAAGTAAGGGTGGAAACACCAGCAATATGCTGAAACATCTGTCTATGCAACATGGGCCTAAATTCCAGGAATGCCATGTATTTGACACTTTCCATCTAAGGAGCACACCCATTACTGAGGGTAAATATACTGTGCTATAATAAGTGAGTTATAATAAGTATAATTAGTGGCACACAGGCAGGCTTAACAGATTTTTTTCTTTGACTAAGAAAAACTATATGAAAACGAATGTTGTACAAATGTTCTCTGATTACATCCATTTTAGATGATGACAGACAGACTGTTGTTACAGTGAGCTCTCAGACACCACTTTCCCATTCAAGTGGTGGAATGGAAAAGTGGTCCCAGACTTTTAGACCCAACTGTATCAGCCAATAGTTATTTTTAAAACATAAACACACACACATATATCTATGCAATATGCTAAAATCAGCCAATGGATCTTTCCAGCTCTACTTTTCATGTCAAAAAGCAGGATCCCACGAGAACAATAATGTTTTGGACACTACTGGCTGGACATTTTGAAAGCAGCTAAAAGTTCTCCCTTTTTAAGTATCACAGTGCCCATGATGTCTGCATGCCAAGATATTTTGAGGCTCACAAGCCTGATCCATAACTTCATACCAAAATGAATGGTTTTACTCTTTTGACATCACAGATGCATTCTGTCATGTACCTCAGATGAGTGTTGGAGCTAAAGTCATGTAAAATTGCTGGTTTCAAGCTTGAGCCTCCTGTTTGTTTGGAGAACTGACAAGTCAGTGCACATTTCTGTGAGGTTAAAACCAAGTGCGTCAGCCAGAGCTTGCCACAATATTGCACCTTCTCACCAGATTAGCCTCATTATTCAATCCCTTCTTAATCAGCAAACTATGTAAAGCTACATATGGCCTCTAAGGACGCCATATAAAGAATGAAGAAGGCATGAGACCAGGGGAAAAAAGCTTCAAAGCTGAGCCTGACTGGTGAGGAAATGCATGTGCTGCTGGGTGCTGAAACCACTGAAGGAGCCGTCAGAGCTGAGAACTGAGAGCTAGCGCTAAACACACCTGTGAAAACTTGAAAAATAAACACTTGCTGGACATATAACAAAAAATGAGTAGAATCACTTTTTAGTCATATTCAAGTATGAGAAATGTAAGTATACAGAGCAGTTAAGCATGGCACCTGTTTTTACCACAGTGCCGACTGTGCTGAGAGAACTTTTTGTCTTCTAAATTTGCAGAAATTTGCTGTCTAAACAAATCAATAGCGGTTTTAAATGACACTGTGTTTGGAGAATTGGGGAACAACCAAAAAACAATTATATAAATGTCAGAGAAAGCAGGAAAACATTATGTTCCTACATGAGTTTCGGCAAAGTCCTTATAGGCATTATCGGCAGCCATCTTGGCACACCCCTGGGCAGTTATTTCAGGCTAACAAGACCAGGCTCAAGGCCAGAGCATCTAAATGAATGGGCAGAGTCATAACTGCACATTCAATGGCCACTGGGACATAAAAAAAACTGCATGCACAGAATCACCTGTAAAATCAGACTAAAATGTTTGGCACTTTTATACAGAATAAGGTTTAAAACTCCTTTGTCCCCCACAGGTTATACTTCTAACACATATACACATGGTTTCACTGATCAGTGCAACAACACGATTAGCTTGATATATTTGTGATGGAAGGGGACAGGACATGTGTCACACAACCGCCATCTTTGGTGTTCAGACTTTTTAATTCAGGATTCTATGCCTTTCTCTTACAGCATCTCTGGCTCCACACTCTGATTATCAATAACTGCTTTAGATGATATCTGTTATTGATGAAGAAAAATCTCTTGTAGTGCCAAGCAGCAATTATTTCCACTCTAAATTTGCTTTATAATTTTATCTCATCTAAAATATTATCTAAATTGTTTATTAAAAAGCTTAATAATGTTTGGCAACAGATATTTGGATATTTAGTTCTATCATTTTGAAGTTGATATAGAACTATTAAATTAATAGACATATATGTCCTGTGGGCGTTTTTGCTCAGCTGAGAAACCTAAACTAAAAAACACGAGGCACTCAGCACACAGTCCATACTGTAATCCCCACCAGCAGCATTCACTGTAAGCTCTTTCTTTCCACACAATAACTCTGGATCTCCTCCAAGTCTGACATTTAAAAAAAATCAGAACATGGGTCAGAAATAAGGAGACGGTGGTAGTGTATTTTTTTTTTTTTTAGAAGTCTTGTATCTGAGTGACAGACTGATGAGGAAAATTATTTAAAACCCCACATATTCAATGCTCTCCATATTTAAACAGAGGGAAGAATTCAAACTGAGAACCTGAGGAACATCGTGGCAGCAGCAACAAAGACTCTGCCGGCAAGCGACTGAGAGCATGTGTCCAGCTGACCAGCAGCCGTGACATGCTAGAGTAGGTGCTGCATGGTTATTTATACTTTACAGAAACCTTCTGAAGGGTTTTAATGACAGCCTGCTGTTTGAACCACTTTACTTACAGAATTTATTGAAAGCTATAGCACTCAAAAGGCTTTGTGATCATGTTTCCAAGAGATAAGCTGACAACTCCTGGCTCTGGTTTGGGGTATAGTCAAGTACAGAGGAAAACACAAAGGAATTTCCTCACAGGCAACTTCAGAGCAGAGAGATAATGATGCTGTCGGCCTTTTTTTGTGCAGACTCTGGAACTTTTAGTCTTCACACATATTATTAGTAGACGTCACAGGAATACCTCTCACATGGATTTCTATTATAAAAGGCGCTGCATACACTAATGCCTTTCATTTGCACCAGTATCTCCTTTCCAGTTATTGTCTTTAAAGACCAAATGAGGTCATGGTTTACCATTTATTTACCACTCATAACTGGAAAAAACACACACACATACACATGGAAGTAGGGTCAAAATTAACAGTGAAGTTATAATTATGATACGATGCCGTCCATGACATTGTGATGACTAAAAGGCGTCAGAGCTGAGGCCACTACCTAACCTCGGGACTGTGAGTCATGGGTGTACCACAAGGGGAGAAAGGGTGACATCATTCTAGAGTCATCATCGTCGTTGGATGAGCTCCTATAGAAAGCTCTCACTATGCACGAGGGGGGCCTACTTTCTGAAAACCACGTGACCTTCTGGTACTCTGCAGGCTGCACCCAACTGAAAATGCATAATGCATGCAATGTCCGGATGTGTAAAGTGCCAGGTTGTACATGCAGGACTATAATACTATTGCAATGGAAGGCGATTGTTTCACTCGGGTGTCGTTAACCCTCTCTGTTATCATGACCACAGATTATATCTCACGAGGAGGCACCACTCTGGCTGATGATGCAAGCATGGACATGCCACTCATCAACCTTCTTCAAAAGATACACTGATAAGCCATTAAAAATATAAGCAGTTCGTCTGCAAATGTAACACCGGGGATGTAATTAAACTTGCTTCTGGAGCTGCCAGCGTGTTTGCTGGAAACTAGTTGGACATACAGGTGTTTACAGGACAAGCGTAACTAAGAGAGCAAAGCAAAGAATGTGCACAAAAACAAAAATAATCCCCACCCGCCCACCGAAGAAATGCGAGCCACCCCGAAGCGTGCACGGTGCGCCCTCAATTCGTAACAGCCAAAGTATGAAAGTGTAAACAAAAGGCACAAGCGACATTTCACTTCTATCACTGGCACCCTTCACAGACTGATAAACAGCCGGCGGGGAGGCAGCTCTGACGGGCCTCTGAGGGTGGTGGGAACCCGTTTTACTGTTGTGCAATCGTGCTGTATGCTCTCGATACTACTCTGCAACAACTGCTTACCATACGGATCCGTAAGCTCCGGAGCCGACGGGAGATAAGTTCTGGTAGCGCTCCGGGACCTCCCACACGGTTTTGTTGAGTTCCTGTCGGTAGAAAGTGGGTCTCTCCTTCTGCGACATTCCTGCGGATTTACCAGCCCCGCAGTGACAAAACAAGCCAGCGGAAACTTCTGCCCTCTCTCCTCTCCTCCTCCCCGTGTGTGTGGCACGACGTGGTGTGGTTACTGCTGCTCCACACTGCAACTCAAAACGGAGACGGTCCCGAATTACTCAAAACTTCAACCGGCTGGCCGTGCAAATTCGGTGCAGTTGTGCAGCCAAGAAAAAAATCCCCACCTCTCCTTGCACGTCGGGGCGTTCGGAGACAACTTCCTCTATACAACGCGCTCGGGTCAGGAAGCTCAGTCTGGACTAGCTTTCGCTGGATTTTTCACCCTGCTCTGTTCTCGGGCGCGCGGAAACCTGAACGCGCACGCCACCGCGCGCTCCCGGCAATAATTACTATCTCGCGAGAGTTGAGTCGCTGTTGAGAAACCAGGGGATGCCCCGTCTCTAGTGTGGCCGCCAGTGGGAATCACCCATCGTCAATGACTGAACATGTTTACCTGTTTAAATGTACCTCAGGTATTACGACGCAATAGCAATTTACTATGACCACAACAAATACACTCAATTATGAACTGTTCCTTCAATATCAACCACCTTGGACATCATGTACTACTAAACTACAATAAGGCAGTTAAGATATTTTTATACAAATCAGCAGATAAGACTCTTTAATGTCATAGTTAAAAAATATCTGTCAAATATAATAATTACAACTGATTGCACAAGTGCAGTATCCACCCATTTATGGCACACACCTAAATGTAGATATTGTCATCTTCATATCATGTGCATTATTAGTTGAATGGAAACCACCTGTGTAACCAAGGTGTGACAAGTTACTGTAAGTTGATCATACTGGAAGGTCCAACAGCTGATTAGTCAATTTGTAAAACTACATCATAAAGAAAAAGAAACAAAAAATATATATATTTTAATGGAAGAGATTTTTACTTGTCACAGTAGGAAAAGCAATAGTGTAAATAATAAAATAATGATGAATTACATGTAGCTGGTTCAGCTTCAGGGTCCTGCTACTGTACATGCTGGTTGACAGACAGAGCCATTGTTAATAACACCTGTTCTTTTCCTACTATGACAGGTCAAAATGACCGTTGTGAAAATGGCCTATCCTAAACAATGACATTGAAAAGAACCAGTCAGGGGACGGACACAAGACAATTTCCAAAGCAGTGAATATTCCTCAGTGTACAGTAAGATTATACTGTGGAAATATGGCATAGTGGTAAATCTGCTGAAAGTGGGTTGTCTTCCAAAACTGAGAATGTTTGTGTAGAAGAGCACTAGTGGCAGAAGCCATCAAAAGGCTTACGACAAGTGTGAAGGAGGTAAAGGGTTCAATGGGTAAGATGGGAGACATGCATACAAATACTGTTGCCTTTACAAAAGCAGGTGGGAGAAGGAAAGAAAAATATTTTATATCCTGGTAGGACCAAAATATTTTTGACCTTTATGCTACATGATGTGTCTGGTGGAAGCCCAACACTGCACATCAGCAGAAATACAGAATGTCCACTATGACTCATGGTGGGGGGCCGGACCATGCTGTGGGGATTTCTCTGGGATTTTTCTGCAGCAGGCCCTGCAGGGGCTGTGAGGGGAGGATGAATGCAGCAAAATACAGAGAAATCTTAGAGGAAAACCTGTGATGAGCTGTTGAGAGATGCTTTATTTTAAAGCTAGATAACAACACCAAATATGAAGTCAAAGCTGCATATAGATTGCTTTTGAAAAGAGACTAGGACCAACCAAAATCAGAGTCCAGACCTCAAGCATAGAAGAATTGGAGCAAAATTGCACTGTCCAGATCTTCAAAGCTGATAAAGACCTACCAAAATACCATAGGCTCAATGCAATTATTTCAGATTTGTACTTTGGATTGATTTGGAGGATGTTTTTACTTTTTTGTGTGTCTTCTGTTGATTCAAAATTCCATCCACTGTGATTCAAGGTTGTAAACCAATACAAGATGAAAAACATTATAGGGACTATACATTGCATAGGCACTATATGTCACTTGAAACCTAACATTTGTTTTATAAAGACAACAAACACAGAAATTGTCTGATCAAGGTTTTACTCAAAATTGCATCACATTCCCTCCCAAAACAATTTAATTATTTTAGTAATAAAAAATAAGGTGGCAGAATTAAACGCAGAGTAACAGTATGCAATTTAGATGCCATAAGAAGCACCATCCCTATTTGGCATTGCATTTAAATCTTCAGTCAAGTCTGATATAGCCATCCAATTTTCACAACATGTTGATATACGTCTCTTTTAAAGTTATTACTCTTCTCTCTGTGACACTTTACAATTGCAATTGAACTTTGACTCCCTGGGGACTTAAATTCCAAGTTTATAACTATTTATGACATTCATTCAAAACATGTTATCTAGTATTAGATGTCAAAGTAAATAAAACATACATATCCGTATAAAATGTGTATTTCAAACCTAAAGAAAATGTAGGAGATGCCAAACAGCACTGTTAAGAAAGGTTAAGAGATCCAAAAAAGTAATGTATAGTGTATACAAGAACATCTTCATATATTAGCTTTGTTTATCTTCCCCTCCACCTTTGACAGAAGAAGTGATACAGAAAAAATAGCATAGCTGGGAGCAAGCAGTATTGATCAATTTTCAGTTTGATCAGACATAACCTCTGGCAAATCTCTATTGGTCATATTTTTTCCAAATATATACAGCTAGGCTAACTTTAGGTTGTGTACAGGTACAAGGTATAATGCACACGCTGCCATTCGATCCTGCATCCTTCATTATAAATAATCATGGGGTGTGGATGGAGACAATAAACAGCATTAGCCAACTACAGAATGATACCATGTAACCAAACAGCCTCTCTCCTCTGTAATAACTGTGGAGTAGATTCAGGATGCCCTTCTTGTCTGTAGTGAACACACATTATTAAGGGAGCAGTTATGTACCCAGTCACCAGAAGGGGGCACCACTGGGTATTTCTCACATGGGTCCACAGGGCAATGGGGTTTCATCGGTCACTTAATCCTAGAAGTGTCCCGCAACAAGGATTAGTACATGACCACTGAGATGAGTCCGTCCCCACCCTGCACCCGTCCAGTCCTTTCCAGTCCAGTCTGACTATCATTTCAAGAAGACGATATAGAAAGCCATAGCCAGACAGGAAACCGCCACAGCAATGTGGAGCCGCGTCCCAATTACTGCAGCTGAGAAAAGAGATGGAGGATCAAGAGGATGAATGAAGAAAACCACAGGTAAATTACAAACATATGGAACAAGGGTAGAATAGCAAATATAAACAGATGTGTATCAATGAGTTACTTTAAGTACTGATGAGCAATTCTCTCCAAGTGACAATAAAATTAATGACAGAGATTAAAGTTGGGGTGAGTGGGCAACAGATATAAAGTCCTCTCTCATGGTATACGTAAGTGGATTTTTATCAAAATATCAAGTCAAATCTCCAAACCCTACTCATAGTCACTGTTTCATTTAAGTTTCCATTGTATTGGAGTACAGGGCCAACAGCAACACATGTGCTAACATTATCATTATTATTTTAATCCACAAGAAACAGTGCATTAATATTTGATGGAAATGTTTGTTTGCTGCAGGGGTTGCATTTAGTTCTAAACAAAATAAGCCATATATGCAATTTACCCAGGGGGACACAAACCTTTGCATACAACTGTACATATTGCAATGGCTGTATAATATAATAACATTTCATGTTTACTCAAAATTAGTTCTTAGATTGCCGTCTACTGTACCAGGACATTTTGTGTAGGTGTGTGTTCAATCAGCATCTTGTCAATTTATTCATCTACCTTTGTAGAAAACGCCCCACACTCCTTTCTTCTCTGACAGTAGCCAGTTGTTGAGTCGAGGCACCTTTTTGAGGTATGCACAAGTGCAGATGAACAGCAGCCCAAACACCAGGATGCCATCGAACGAGTACACTACGGAAGAGGAAAGGATAATATCAATCAATCCGTCTTACATACCAGTTGGCTGTTCACTTAGCTTATTCGACTTATTAACAGTACACAACATCTGTTAGCTGAATTAAATGAGACAAAACAACAATCACAACAATAGATCTCTCCTGATTATGAAAACATGTGGGAGTTTACATGCACTAGTCCACATTAACTTAGCATCTGTGAATCTAAAAGCATCCTGATAACAGTTGGTTGTGAATAACACACCATAGAATAGCATTCACCCATTCTTGCAGTAATACTCCACAGATTAGTTTTGTGTTTTTTCACTGTTTGTGAATTTTAAAAAGCCTCATTGTAGAAATAAATACTGCTGCACCACAAACAGTGAAAAACCGAGCAACTGCTAAAAGACACTTTATCAACACTCATGGTGAATTCACATGGACACATCTGCACAACCTGTCACCATATAATGTATGTCGTTGCTCTGACGTCCAGGTTTGACGGTGAGGTATTGTTTTTATGCTGTTTTGTCTGACATTGCCTCTACTGTGTGAAGTCACTCATACAGCAACATATACACTTTGCCTTGATGTGGATTTTACCTTTAACCTACATGTACAAACTGTGTTGTAGACTCTGCAAGTCCAGTGGTGCTTGCAGATACAGCAGCATTAATAACCTCTGTTCATGTAACCACATCAGCAGTGAACGAGCTCAAAATAAGTTAGATATTTTAAGAACTAAGATGAATAAAATGCTTACAGGTTTGTCTTGACTTGTTCGATCCAATGACTGTAGCTACCTGGATTTTTAAGCTAAATACCTTAATCGATGCTAGTTAGCAAGTTGCTTTGTAGACAGTAAAAAAATACGATGTGTCCAGCACTTAGAGCTTTTCACTGTGGACGGCAAACTGTACAGTGAATTTGTAATTGTAACAAAGAAGCAATACAACACAGTTGAAATTAGTAAAGAAAAATCAGTTTTGGTGCTAACAGACTGACAGTGCTGCCCAGGGCCACGTCTACAGCTAACCTAGCTTTAGCCTCCTTTGCTAGAAGTAGTCTAACTTAAATGACCTGTTCTGCTGCCGACACTTCTTGGCTAGTTTCGCAACACAGTTGACCTACCATTTGTCATATTCGCAGTTTGCTATTTGACGATGCTATATGACTGTTTCTTCCTTTAAATTAGCAATCCATCTTGAATAATAAAGTGGAGATATAATACAGTCTACTTCGCAGTCACTCGGTTGACATTTCCGGTTTCACTGGTTTACATTCTTCTTCTACATTTTATGTTTGTTGTTGTCCAGCTAGTATTACTGCCACCTACTGGAATGTATGATTTACAGCTCCCTCTACCTCACCCATGTGACCCCACATATTTAAATTTGCACATTTCAACGTACTCTTTCCATAAATTTGTTTTTAAGTGTCATCTCAGCCTGTTGGCCACACATGGGTGGATTATGAGAAAATGCGCCCTTGGCCACAGACAGGTAACCACCAGTGTGAAAGTGTCTCTTTGTAGTTGTTTTGTGTCTCTTCATGCACATTTTCTATTTCTATGTAGTTGTTCTGCATCCCTTTTCAATTGCTCTGTATTTTTATGGTTGTTTTGTGTCTCTTTAAGATTCTTTTGCGTGTCTATGTAGTTGTTCTGAATCCCTTGTAGTTGTTTTGAGTCCCTGTAGTTGTTTTGCCTCTCTTTGGGATTGTTTTGCACCTCTTTGTTGTCATTTTGTGTCTTTCAAACAATGGCCACTTCACATGGAGGCTCTGGCCTGTTCAGCAATCCATCCATGCCAGTACAGTAGCCCTATGCTATGATTGAGTGTATCGAATTTCCTTCATTGTTGGGAACTTTCCCATAAAATATACTTCATGCAACACAACCAAGACAGCAAAACAAAGACATATTTGGAAAATGATAAACTGAATTGTCCCTAGTAAACCTTGTAGCATGTCCATGACATAGTCATCATCTATAATGAGTCAGAAACACACAAATGAAGACATGGTGCACATAAGATGGCAAAAGTGGCACTCAGGTCTTCCATTGCTCACAACATTTCATTCAGGATGTGGCCAACACACTCCTCTCTGCAGTAGGGTGGCATGGAGGCAGCAGCTATGGTAGAAGGAGGACAAAGGCAGGATTAACAAAGTGGGGGAAAATGCTGGCTCTGCTGCAGCTCTACACCTGGACACACCTTAGGCACTACAGCAGAGGGAAGGAGGAGGATTAATCTGAGCTTCCACCCGCACTGCTTTGAACTGACACCACTATACAGCCACCTTCACCTCATTCCCTGCAGGTGCATCATGGAGCAATTTGTGCAGGCAGCCACCCGTCACTGCAGAGTGCTGTCTGTCCAAACAGCCCCAGTCTCAGCCAGTCAAGACGGTACTGAATCAGTGTACCTGAAGACCCAGGTGGCAAACCACCTTTTTTTGCTGAATAATTTGCTCCAGACTATCCAATAAAAGGTTAGCCTATGCAGTTTACAGTATGTTTCAGTAAATATCAGACAGTATGTCTGTCATACTGTGTGTATGCGCTGTAGTCATTGCTGGAGGAAAACTCACAAATCTAGACTTTCAGCATGTTTCAACTTTAGGTTACAGCTTCTTTTCTCTTTTGTGACTTGAAAAAAGTAGCCTACCATTTCTTATAAATTGTTTCAAACCCACTGGTTAGACTAAGATGCACACCTATATTATGTTCAGGCTGAAAATTAACTGCTTCTGTCATGACATGATACCTGCATGCATAAATACAACATAACAAACATCTGTACAGACTTTGTCACATGAGTTATGTAATGCATATTCTTAAACCTACATTCTGCTCATATTAACTTCATTGATATATTTGTACATTACATATTTATATCTGTTATACTGTATATCACATATGCATTGATATGCATATTTTCAGTTCTGCACATTTTTGGCAACACAATCAAATTCACTGTTGATGTTTGAAGCATCCTCATTTTCACTTCATTCATATATATCTCTACATTTCAATTCAATATGTTGCTGCAGGACTGAAATTGTCTGTTCAATGTTTTCATATAATTCAGATTTGTTGTGTTCATTTGTTTACATTTGCTTCACTGACCTGACTTCACTTCAGGACCATGAAAATGTTACTTATCTTCTGTTTCTGTCAATTCTTCCTACTGAAATATAATTTGAAGACAGCTGGACAGTAGTATGTAACTCTACATTGAAGAAAAAATATACAGGATTCATACAATGTGCACAATGTGGTCATAGATTTAACACAAAAGTAGAATTTGATGTGAATGTGGACTGTACCTTTCTCCCCTCTGTGACTGTGATAACAACTGGATTCACAAAGCAGAGATACAAAAGCCATATTTGTTTTGTTTTTTTCTTTCTATATTGCATTATCCTAATCTTCACATTACATGATCCTAATCCCTCCATATGTTGTTCCTGCGTCTGAGACAACAGAAGTTTCACCTGCTCAAGGGAACAAAGAGTCGTAAGACAGTTAATAAGATTTGATCACAGGACAGAGTGGCACACCTGTTCAGATCAGCCTTGCTATAACTGCAGCTTGCTGTGTACCAGCAGTGAGCTCTTCTTCTCCTCCTGCACTTGTTTCTGCAAACACGGACTTTAAAACATCTCTCTACTCAACAATGCGTCTCTACTACTGCACACAGGTAAGATTGTTTTATTATCACTTTTATGTGTGAATGAATAAAATGATGATTTGTTTAATCACAAATAGGCTACATAAGAAAAAACATTATTCTCACTGACCAGGTTTGAGTTGCCTGTGCCTCTGTTCTGGCTCAGATTTCAAAGGATAGAAGATCCACATTGGGCCTCATTCAAAAATTCCTTGCCTATAATCATAATTTTTGATCCTGCTAGTAAACGCTAAGTTAAAACAATCTTAAAAGGTTTTTATTAAATCTTACCTTAATACCTATAATTTATATGTGCCCATTACGACCTTACTGACTATCTGAGAAACTAACTAAACTGCAGCAGTTTCTCACTGAGCCAAAAGACACACATCAAAAGACATAATTTGAGGTTTCAAAACCCATGGTCAGTTTAGATTTTTATGGAGAGTTTATTTTGTAATTTCCTTGATGAGGCTAAAATAAATACAATCAAAAATCCTCTTTTCATCCATGGAAAATATTGATTATGTAGAGTACAATTCTTTATAGCTATTTTGAAAACTGTGACGATTTGTATTTTTGTGTGGATGTGAGTATTTCAAGATTCAAAATTCCAAGTTGAGATTTTTTGACAAAATGTTTCATTTGTTTGTTGGTGGGTCGGCAGAATGGTCTGTGTGGTCTGTCTGTCATTTTAATTTTCAAAACTCATTTTGCAAATGGAGAAGACTTACCTGCCTTCTGTTTATTCAGGTGTCACAAAAAATGGCTCTTCGAAACAGAAGTGGTAAGATAAAAATCAAACAGTAGAAGTTAATCTTGCTTTGGTGAATAAAAGCCACTATTATGAACATTTTCCTACCAACAGCAGTTCTACCCACATAACACTGACTGTGATATGTGACTACGTGAGCTGGCCTTTCTTTATGTGTGTCAGACAGACATCACTGCTGGATGGTCCAACCTTGCCAGGTGATTGAGACTCAACAACAGGAGGGTGGTGACCTCATCAAACCCAAGAAGCTGCCAAATCCTGTCCTGGCTTCTCACCAACACAGAGCCCTTCACCAAGAGCTGCTCTTCTGCCACAGATGGTGAGAAAACACTGAGCTCTGTACCTGCTGCTATATGATCAGGTCACATAGGCTGCAGCTACACGCTGATTCGTGTACACGTTAATGTAATACCAGTCAAGGGACATCAACTGTAACAAAAGTGTAATACCTTGACTCTACGTATAAAACTTTGTTTTCTAGTGTGACCGTATTTTAGTAATCTGAGATTTCCAAGTTTTTCCATGTGACATCTTCTCGGACTGGTGTGTAGTTAAAGGCAAGTTGAAACTGCCAGCAGAAAGTTCTCCAGATCAGCGTTTTATTTGTCTCCTGCCTCAGTCAGAGAATCCTCTTGGGCTTCCCCAGTCCTGCTGACCGGGGCTGCGGCCGGGGATAAGCAACATGCTTAGATGGTATTTAAGACTGTTTGAGTCAAAGGTGCAACACTTCTCTAGAGATCACTGCTAATCTCTCAACACGGGGAAAGTATTTTCACTCTTGTGTCTGAAAACGACAAAATAATGCATGTAAGTACAATAAAATCCAGACAGTTTGGTTTGTGGTGCTTGAAGCAGTGAACAAGCCCAAGTTTCTATTAAAATACACCTGACTACTGAATATCTTTAACTTTAAATTTACATTTAAGTTTGTGAATTATAATGAGCAACTGTGTCATTTTAAGCTTACCTTCACTGATAGATAAATAAAACTCAAGAGAGGATAGTATTTTTGGTTGCTTATCTTGAACAAAAATATTAGCACAACGCTTCTGTTTTTACTCTCATTTTCCATGAGTTGAAATAAAAGATGTAACATTTTTTCTATACAAACAGAAGGCATATTCCTCCCAAATTTTGTTCATAAAAGTGTTTAAATCCATGGTAATTAGGACTTCTTCTTTGCCAAGATAATCCATCCACCTGACAGGTGCAGCATATCAAAATGCTGATACCACAGCCAAGGGAACGGGCTTGGCAGAATCAGCGGAGAAAGAAGACCCTGTTGAGCTTGACTCTAGTCTGGCACTGTGTAATCAACATCTCGATATGCCACGCCTGTCAAGTGGACGGATTATCTTGGCAAAGGAGAGCTGTTCACTAACATGTCATTGTGAAAAACATTTGACAGAAAGAAGCCTTGTGTGTGCTTAGTAAAAGTCTTAGCTCTTTTATTTCAACTAATGAAGAATGGGAGCAAAAACAAAAGTGTTGCGATTTTATTTGTGCTCAGTGTAGATATCCACCCTTCTATTAGTATTTTTGTTATGTGTCCTCAGTGGTCTCCTGCCAAGAATAAAGCCAGAGCTGCAGCGTGTGCTGGAAAACAAACAGAGAGAGAGGCACAAGCAGGCCGAGCTGGCCCTCCATCCTCCCTCAGACTTGGAAGCAAAGCTTCGCACAAGACAGCAGAGGATACAAGTCGTACGTATGAGCAAATGATAGAAAACCACACAAACGGCATTTGTAATGATCTATTTACCATTTGGGTATGTGTGAGCATGCAGAGCTGCAGATATTTGTGAATAAAGAGTCTTGTTAAGGTGGATGTCCAAACTAGAGCTAGATTGACAGATGTTTCCTCTCTTACAGTGTGAGCTGGAGGAAAGAAAAAGGAACGAGTGGCTACAGAACGCACCGGAGTTTGTCCGAGTGAGAAAAACCTTGAAGCATGTGCAGGCTTTTTCATCATGACAACCAGAGCTACAGGAACACAGGTTCCTGTGCTATTGTTAGTCATCAGGTGAATCATCTTCATTTGGCAACTGCAGCTCTCACAGATACTGATCAAATTTACCAAATCTGTCAGAAAATGTTTTACAGTGTAAGATTTGAATTTCAGGAAGGAAAAATATAAATTTATTAATCCTATTTTGAGACAACTTTTCAACACCACCAATCAAGCATGATGGATCGTTTGAATTCAGAAAGGAGTGGACTTGTGAGCGTCTCTTGTAAAGTTGTGAAAGGCTTCAAATATTTTCTTGCTGTGGAGATGCATGCACTTGAAACATTCTTTAATTGTCTTGCCATAGAAGGTTAGGTTGCTGTATTTTGTAGTATTGTTAAAATGTAGAATGAGAAAATAAGCACCAGGAATACATTTAAAAAAAAATTTAATAAAACATCCAGGGAGGCTGACAATGTACGTAAAAACAAACACTGAAACTTAAGCTGGTTTGAATCAGGATCTGCTAGTGACAACAGTGAGAAAACAGTCACATAATCACATGAGAGGCAGTCACAGGAGTGAACATGGATGTCGCTCTTTTTGCAGGATTGCTCAACCGTTTACACTTCAGTCTGTCGTACCCTTTGATCAAAGCTGCTGTTCGTATTTCACAAGTTTTGGGACTCAGCTAGTGACATCACAGATGGCAAGAGCCTAACATAATAAAAAGTAATCATTGAATAATGATTCATGGACTTATGTTTCTTGTTTAAAAAGTGAGCAAGTGCCAGCTGGTAGTTCATATCAGGTTACTCAGTCTGAATATGTGGTGTGCTGTAAACAAACATTCATAAATAACTTTATCGCTGCAAAGTAAATGTACTGACCAAACTTTAAAGTGTGACTGTTGCCTTGGAAATGTAAATATCGTCACAGACTCCTCACATAGGCTCCAGTAAAATTAATAAGAAGGCCTGCTGAATAAATCACATTCAACCATTTTCTCTTACGCATTCTGTGCAATTCCAAACACCTTACACCTTGTGTGTCGTCCACCGTAAACAAAAGGTTTTACATTTAAAAGTGAACTTTTCATCTCCATTAATTTTGTGAAATACATGTGATTTCCCCCAACTGGGTTTATAAATACAAATTCTACTCACAAGCAGCAACCACATCCACTGTGCTTTTGTCACAACTCAGCTCCAGTGTGTTGTGTTTGCTATAGAATAAATTAATAATAAATAAAATACAAAAAAAAAAAAAATGCTTTCACAAAAAAATGTAGACATCATGGCAGGGTAAGAAACTCTTGTCTGTGTTTCCCGGTGCTACCTACTACACTTACAACTTCTCATAGTGTTTGAACATATTTAGCAAGACGTACAGTAGAAGAAGCACAGACAGAGAGAAGTAGGCCACCCATGTGGTAAACTTGCGGTAAGGAGGGCACTGACATTATCATGGGTCCAAAAAACAAGACCAAAGGAGTTTGTGGGTCATAAAGGACATAAGGTGGAAGTTGGCTCCTAATTTGAAATTGAAAGGAAAATATTTCTCAACCAATTCTCCGTTGGCAATGGTACATCATTTGAATTTGTAAAATTTGTACTCGACTTCACAATAAAAGCTGTAGCACTGTTTAAAATCCCATTCTATTTGTGAAAACAGAAAAAGGGTGACTTGACTAATTCCGTAACCCACATTAAACCAGGTATAGATAGAAAAAAAACTCGACAAGATTAACATGGAGACTCTACAGACTGTTAAAGATTTATAAAACCAAATTTGTGCAAAATCTAGCTCAAAAACCACTCCATAATTTACTACTACTAGAATTTTCCAGACCTGGTCTGATTTCACATGGAGACTATTAAAACCCAGTTTCAAATATGTGGAAATTCCATCTAGATCCTCTGGTCTGGGTGGAAAAAAACAATCTGTGGAGCTGCCATTTTTTTTTTTTTTTTTAAATGAGGTTTTCTAACAACATTAAGGCTTTCACAATAATTTCTAGTAGCTGTCACATTGCTTTAAATCATGTAACAATGGAGAATTGGTCAATAAACATTATTCCTTAATTTCCCAGACTCAAACAATACAAATCAAAAGCCAATTCCAACCATGTAAAAAAGACAAAAATTAAGGAATGCCATCCTTCCTTTGGCAACACTGTGAGGGTGGCACGCTCCAGTCATACACATAGGACAGTCGCAGCTTGACTTCCTCCTTGCAGAGCCTGCCGTCACGCTGCAGAGTCTGGTGTTTTTCCAACATGTCCTCCAAGCTCTGCTTATGTGTAACCAAATATTTGTTGTTGCAACCACGCGATTTATACTCTGTGTCAAAGCGTGGGTCATGCGTCCGCCGAACATCCACAGGTGCCAGCCAGGCACCCAGTGACACATCCTCACTCTGCCATGTCTTGAAGTAACCTGCATTCAGATGTACATAACGTACCAGGTCGGATGAGAGGATGTAGCCCCCACCCAATGCATAGGGCAGGTAGTAGTCACAGAGCTCCCATGAGCTTTCCCTCCACTTGCCGGCTGTTTTCACTCGGCCTCTCCCTGAGAAGAAGCCCCAGTACAACCGGCTGGGCTCTTTCCCCTTCAGCTCCTCTTTAAGGAGGTCCAAACGAGCAAATGTGTCATCATCTGCTTTGAGGACGAACTTGAACTCCACATTCTGGTCCAGCCAGGAGTACATGTGGAGCAGTTTGAGTGTTAAGTTCTCATAAGAATCTCGCAACTCAGGCAGTAAGAGCAGGTCTTTGTGCCGCCCTTGCTCTGTGTTAAGGTTCTGAAGGTCCTCACTGGAAAGCCCCTGAGTTCCTACCACAAACATGGCCAGAACATCTGAGTCCCGCTTGGCAAGCCAGGTGCTGCGGATGATACTCCTCCTCTCTGTGTACTTAGGTCCCGTTGTGATGAGGACCACCAAGAATGCTGACAAGTCTTTAGATGTGGAAGGAAGATTATGCTGCTCTGGACGTGATTGCAAGGCATTGGCTTGGGGGGCTAAGCCTGGAGGATCCGGATGGGCCTGTTTCAAGGTTTCTGAGGTACATCGGGCCAAGAAGACAAGAACTACAGCAAAGCTGCAAACAGTGCCAATGACCAGGGCTGTCTTGTGACGACACACTAGACGCAACAGATTCATGGTGCTGAGCCTGTGGTGAAAAAACACAATAGATTGTTAGTATTTATGTAATTCATCAAGTTTATCATCACCTAAATTAGATTTTGCACCCACACATTTTATGCAAGCATTTTCACAAAACTTGCATCAGGTGGCTGAAAGGGAACAAGCAAAGAGTTTGACTTATGAAAGAAACACTTGCATTTTAAGTGTTTCTCGTCTTATGAAAGTTGAATATATTCCTGAATCAAGGTGCAGTTAGCAATCACACAGCACTACATATCTGCTGCAGCTTGTTTCAATGCTGTGTTTACAGACATTACAGATGTAAACAAACATATCTGAGCATCAGAAAGGATTATGTCAGACTGGTACCCCATGACATTAAATTGGTGGCAGCAGCGACAATACTTATGTTTCCAGATTTGGCTTTAAAGTTATCATTTGAGCATGTGGATCACAGGTTTTGCCTTGGATAACGGTAGTTACCGAGTAAGATAGCAAAAGTAACCTCGCATCAGCAACGCACCCGTGAGTTTGTAGCACCACCTGCTTGCTAAGCTTAGCCGTTGAACTTTACACTGTCCATTGTAACAATACTGCACGCAGTGGTTAATTCAAGAGGATTTATAGGTACCTTAGCTGAGTGAAAAGTACCTGTCCCGTAGATACAGCCAGAACGGGCCACACACAGCAGCTCTGCGGAGCTAACGTTAGCTACCAAGATAAGACCCTCTGCGCACTTAGTGAGCTCACTGCACTGACTGTAAACACACACAGACTGCTCATATTGATCCAAACCGGAGATGGAAACCACAAGGTTTAGCGGCGTCTGCCCGGCAGGTTACAATAAGCAGGTTAAATGGTAGGCAGGGTGAGCTGAGCCAGGTATCGTTGTATTCATTTCTTGTCTTGTAGAGCTCTCTGTGGCCGTGACGAAAAGGAAACGGAAGTGAAGCCCCTGAAAGAGGGGGGACAAAATAACACACAATAAAGACGTATGTGGACAATCATTTTGTCCAAATGCGTAATTTGTATAGCCGTTATTATTAGTAGAAAAGTGCATAGAACCTGAACAAGAGGAAATAGATTAACTTCACGCCTAACTTTGGATGTGTTTGCCAGGAAGCGAAACGACAGCATGATTACATGTAACAGCTGGGAAAAGCTCTTTTTTTTTGCTATTTTTTGCATGTGTGATCAGGAAAGGACAATAAAACCAAAGGGGGCAGTTTGAAGACAGCTGTTGACTGGTGCATGCGCGTTAGTCAATGTGTCTAGTGTTAGGAGCATTTATGGGTTGGGAGATCAAGATCGGATGATATATCTGTTTGCTTCAAAATAAAAGCACAGGCATAACCTTTGGGAATTCTGTAACTGTAATGGATCTAAATAGATAATCACAAGCCTGCTATGTTGTTGCATGTATGTGGTTGTGTGAGGGTAGATTTCCTAGGGGGCCAAACAATGAAGCTGAAATGATTACTTGAATAACTGATCACTCAACTAACAGAAAATGTATTGCCTACAGTAACTGATTGTTTTTTAAGCAAAGAATCCAAAAAAAAAATTTCCCTTCCAATTTGCTAGGTCTCTATGATAGTAAACTCATCATCTTTGAGTTTTTGAAAGTTAGTCCGACATAAAATGCAATTTGAATAATCAATCATAAATCAAGCATATAATGCATCAAGTTGTATTTATTAATGAACAGATCAAATCAACAATTCAAGAAATATTACCGATGTCAGGTTACCAATATCACTATTAATTGTTTTCCCATATGATCATGATTTCCAACTGTAAATTTAGATCTGCATTCACAATCTGTCAAAGACAGTCAATAACCTATACAAATCCACTATTATGTTCCATAATGTGTGTCTTTCAGCAGTGTGTATAATGTCTTACATAGGCCAATATATTATGACAATTTAATATGATTAATTACAAATTGTATTCTTCAAGGGTTAATGGGGAATTTTATCTTGAAATTTGCAACCGGAAGCTTGATGTTTCATTGCGGTAATGACACTGACGGTTTGCAAATGTCCAGCTTTAGCTTGGAAAAAATGGCCTCATCGTAGTGGAATACTAGTATGTCGTCTGTAGGTAAACTTAACGTTCAGGAAGTCAGCAGACCCGATAATGTAAGCGCTTTGCATGATACATTTGTCCGTTACAGAATAGCTTTGGAGCATTACTTTCCCGAGCAGCTCGGTTGCTAGTTAAGTGGCGATAACGTTAGACGAGGACAGCGGCAAGCGATGACGGTTAGGAGAACCAGTCGACATCCTGGGACATGCCCGGTCTTACTCGCCATCTTTCTGCTAATTTTGTGTGTGCAGTCGGTTAAAACAGCCTCTGACTATGACCCTTATAAAATCCTGGGGGTCAGCAGGAGTGCCAGTCAAGCAGAAATTAAAAGGGCGTACAAGAACCTTGCCAGAGAATGGTGAGTGATTGACAGCACCATCACATCTTGGCTGTAGCAGATCAGCCCTACGCGCATCTGACACCCGCACTGGCGTTTGTTGTCATTTAACTCGTTATAATATGGTCCAATTTAAAATGACAAATAGTGAACCGTCGTCTAACTCTGCATGAATCTAACAGTGATTTGTGGTGTCATGTATGGGCTGTTTTTTTGTAGGCATCCAGACAAGAATAAGGACCCTAAAGCTGAGGATATGTTCATCAAGATCTCCAAGTCATATGAGGTGGGTGAAAATGCATTACAATTTCTCACATACATAATTTCATACAAACTCCAGCTGACACCTCCAAGTAGTCACTCACTCAGTCAGTTTCACTTTCTGTATCAGGGTCGCTCTCTCATTTTAATAACAACAGTAACACTGTCCTCTCACTTCTACCTTTCATTCTCCATGGCACACAGATTTTGTCTAATGAGGAGCGAAGGTCCAACTTTGACCGCTATGGGCAGATGGATGAAAACCAGCCCTTTGGCCAGTCACAGCATCACGGTTTCCGCAGCTTCCACAACAGCTTCTACTTTGATGAGTCTTTTTTCCATTTCCCCAGGTACACCATTTACAGTTTTGTGTCACTGTAATTTAGTGGGAATCAGAAGAACACTGCGAGACATATTTTATTCAGATTCCCTTGATTAAACATGTCCCATGTGAAATGTTTATGAAGACCCCATTGGTAAAGGTGTACATGAGCAGCTGCGGATATATAACTAAATTCTTCAAAATCAAAATACTGGCATGCTTCACACCAACTCTTGTAGATAAGGAAACACGTCTTTTCTGACAAACAGTTTCTTTCTCCATGTTTCATTAACTGTGTTCCTTATATCCTAGTAAGCATCCAGTGTAGAGAGTGGTGTTGGTTCGGCTCCTCCTTAGGCTTGTGTTTGGTTATTGATAATCATGGTAATAAAAAACTGTTCTAGTCCTGGTGCCAAGATTTTTAGGTGCAGTAGTTATTGTCCCATTCGTAGGTTTTGGAAAGTTTTGTTAACTTATATGTCCTGTTGTGCAGACCCATCAAGTTAATCAATCAGTCAGTCAGTTAATGACAAATATGATGATTTGCTGGCTTTAGCTTCTCAGACATGAGGATTTGCTTGTCTTTCTCCATTTTGAACCATCGTAAACTGAATACATTTTTTATGCTTGTCAGTCTAACAAAATAAGCAATTTAAAGACATCTCATTGAACTATGCTAACCTGATATTTGATTAGTTGTTTTAAAGAAGGATCTCTGACTCTACTCAGCATTTGCACCAAGATTTAGAATGAGTGAACTAATTGGAATTATAGACAGTTTTCTCTGAGGTCATGTGCTGACAGCACCCTGAAGGCTAAGTCTAAAAAAAGACTCACTGTCTTGCTTCGGATACTTCTCCAGGTCCAGGGACTTTGCAGACAGCAAGTACCTGCTTCACCACGCACAGTTTAACAGCGACGTCCTTCCAGACAGCCACAAGAGGCCATACCTAATCAAAGTGACCTCTGAGTGGTGCTTTGCATGTATACACATTGAGCCTGTGTGGAAGGAGACGGTGCAGGAGCTGGAGCCGCTGGGTAAGTCTGCTCGTTACAAGACTCCCATCAGTCTTCCCCCTGCCACGCCCTAAGGATTGAGATTGGTTTTCCTAAAAGCGTCGTAACATAAGGGTGATGCTTGCTCAGTTGTTGGCCTTTAGGACAAATGTGATTTGGGTGTTAAGATGCTTTACAAAGAGCTGGCCATTTCTTTAATTATTCATTAGAGTGTAAGGGAGAAATTCAGCCCTATGTAAAAGTTGTCTGGCCCTGGAGATGAATTTTAAGTTGTTGCGTTAATTCTGCCAATTAGAAGTACAGTGTTCCCAGTGCCCTTTAGATTAAGTCTGATGCTTAGTCTGTAACCGTACAGTGGCCTGCCCTGGAAATACAGTATATCCTGCATGTTAATGTGAGCCGTTGCTCTTTACTGTGCTAAAGACACCAGTTATAAACTGTGCAGTTTGCATTCATTATGGATAAACACGGATGTTACAAGATTTTAACTAGATGTAGCCTAAAATTTGGTCAGTACATGAAACCATCTTTAACTTTGTTACATATAAACTGTTGAAATGTGCTCATTGAAATCTTACCTTCTGCTTTAAAGCAGCATGCGTCCCTTTTTTTTCCCACTCTGGGGCAGAACTCCTCAACAAGCTGTGTATCACACACATTTGACACATAAAGTTGTTGGCAATAAAATCAAAAACAGTAAGCTAAAAGATGCGAGAAAGTGCAGAGTAGGGTGATAATTCTTGACCCTTTGTTCATATAACAATACTGTGCAGCTTTAAGTGTAATATCTTGCTTCTCTCATGCAGTGCTGTTTACCAAAATAGCACAGAGAACTAGTGTTTGGCTCGACTGTATCAGGTACAATAACAGTCTGTTTTTGCTTTCATACCAGGTGTGGGCATTGGCGTTGTGGACCTGGGTTATGAGCGTCGACTGGCAAACCAGCTGGGAGCACACCGTGCTCCCTCCATCATTGCGCTGGTGAACGGCAGGGTGACTTTCTTTCATCAGGCTGTGGTACGGGAACACCTGCGACAGTTCATTGAAGACCTGCTGCCCCACAAACTGGTTGAAAAGGTAACTGCAAGTGACACAAATGTGCCACTACTGCTACTTTTTATGGAATTTATAGGCCTAAACAGTAGTTACCTATAGAGCTTTTTTATATATATGTATATATGAAAATATAGGCCTGATAGTTAATATATATTTATAGATACAACTTATCAGGTGCAGTTTCACCTGTGGTCATGATAAATAATACTGGTTTTCAGTTATGCTACAGTAGACTGTTATTTAATTTAGCAAGGACATACATTTTTTTTAAACTGATTTCCATTGTTTCTCCAGATCACAGATAACAACTACCTGACTTTTCTGGATAACTGGCATGTGGAGAATAAGCCCACTGTTCTCTTGTTTGACCAAGTCCCCGTCGTTCCCCTGCTCTACAAAGTAAGCATTGTATTTACACCCTCTCGCGCACACACACACACACACACACACACACACACACACACACACACACACACACACACACACACACACAAGTGGGACACTAATTAGACTAAATATTATTGTCGAAAACAGTCTACTTCTTCAAGTTGCTTAATATTCTGAGATTTGGTGCTGAGGAGTTGTTTGCTCTAATACACAAGAGAGCAGATCAATTAGACACCAACAGCAACTACAGAGGCATCTGTCTGAGCAGCTGTTTCTGCTTGAGATCATTTTTCTTTTCACTAATGATTTAATAGTTCCTCCATTGTTATAGTCTTTTAAAATCACCATCAAATGCCCACTGGAAATATAGTTTTCATAACTTAATGCAAATGAATGTGTTGGGTCAAGACAGGGAGAGAGGGCACTGAGGTGGCAGGCTATAGAACACATGAGAACATAGTTTCAACCAATCAGATATCTCCGTTACAACTATCTAATGTATACAGTTATGAGTTAAAAGCAGATATCAGTTTGCCTTGAACTCTCCTCCTTCAGCTCCTGTTCTCTTTATTTTAATGCGTTTATTTGGGGCTCTGTAACCTTCCCACTCTACTCTCCAGTTAACAGCGTTCGCCTTCAGAGACTATGTGCGTTTCGGCTTTGTGGACCAGGGTGACACGCACTGCACTCGGCTCCTGCGGCAGTTCAACATAAACACATACGCCCCCACCATGCTGCTGTTTAAGGAGGACACAGAGAAGCCTGTTGACATCATCCAGGTACACCCTGCAAAGCCTGCACCTGAGACCACTACTCCCTTAGTTTAACAGTACTGACACATTGCCTCCTGTTATATCCGAACATTCTGGCCCGATATAAATGTGAATCATGTTTGGTATTTTTTGTCTGGCAATATCAAGGAAAAATAAATAAGAAAAGAAATTGCTGAAGAAATGAATTTTCTTATTTTTCCAGTTGCAAATTTTAGTCTTTTTTTTTTTTTTTTAATGTTGCACACCTACTCTAGTCAACCCTTTTCTTGCTTTATGGTGCTCAAACCCCTTGAACTTTCTCTCTCCCAGGCCAGAGGGATGAAGCGACAGATCATGGATGAGTTTGTTTCCAACAACAAGTTCCTGCAGGTGCCACGGCTCGTCAACCAGCAGCTTTTTGATGAGCTGTGTCCTGTCAAGCAGTTCCACCGACGGAGGAAGTAAGACAGTTTATAATTCCTTGCTTAAAATCACCCCTTGTGCTGAATTAATGTAGAAGGGAAAGGACAATAAACGAAACCAAACTAACGGGATCGAATTTGACTTTAAAATAATACGACAACTGTAAGAAGCTGAGATCCAAATAGAAGAGTTAGACAAGCAGTACTGTGGTTGTCAAATTGTGAAGTGAAATACCATATCTGAGGGCTTTTTGGATTGATGTGAATGAATGGTTTGCAGGTACTGTGTGCTGCTGATCACAGGGGAGGACCAAGCCTTTGTTCCAGGCAATAAGGCTTTCCTGGACTTTGCCACAGCTAACAGAAAAGAGGTGCTGCGCTTTGCATACGTTTATCAGCGTCACCAGCAGCCTCTCTGTCAGGCACTGCTCCACAATCAGGCTTCACTCTCACCTCAGGTTGGTGGCAGAAACACTAACAGCGAGAACATACTATACAGTAAAGCAAACCTCATTTTTCAAATCACAATTTTCTGTCTATAAACAAACATCAAGAACAATGCGCACTCGCTGGCAAACCTTTTTTTTTTTTTTACCCTGAACACAAAAAAATGCAGGTTGTATAATTTTACAGTACAAGTGCTTTTTAACCACACTGACAGGTGGTGATACTTGAGAGGCGGAGCCAGGCTGGTAAGGTCCTGTACCGCTCTGTAAGTGGTGGCTGGAACGGCAGCGAAGAAGACAAGTACCGCCTCCACGAACAGCTGGAGCTCCTCCAAAAGGACCCCACCTACCTGACCTCAGACGCCACTCTGCCAGAACTCAACAACGAGATGGCCCCCGTAAGTCACGGCGGACACACACTCGCCGCAGTTGTGAGACCACCAGACTTGCTCTGCGCACAAATGCACAGATCGATTGGACATTTTTTTGATTATTGTAACTGTTTTCTCTTCTGTTTCTGATCCCTCGTCAGATTTTTATTATTCAATGGATGAATGCTGCCTATGATTACATCGTTCAAATATACGATGACCTTCTCTACTCCAACTGGTAAGACAACACTCACCCAGGAAGTCTGCAGCATTTAGAGCGAAAAAGAGAAATACACTGTGTGTTGCACTTTTGCTGATATTGTATCAGTAGCTGAATCATACTTCTGCATTAAGATGTTATGATACCTGCCTGATGGGGGCTCTGTTTGTAGGAATTTACTTTGTCCCTCAGAACGGTAACTACATGTAGAGGTGAAACGGGCCAAATGGAGACAGTAATGGCTGTTGCTGGTTGATATGGGGTGCTTTGCATTTTCTCCTACATATTTTAATAATAATGTGTGTCTCTCCTCAAGGCGAGAGATGATGCCCATCCTGTCCTTGATCTTCTCGGCCCTCTTCATTCTTTTTGGCACCGTCATCATCCAGGCCTTCAGGTGAGAGGCACGGTTCAGTCTGAGTGATTTTAATTGTATGCCTCAACATTTGACTAGAAATGACTTGAATTAAAAATGTCTTACACCTAATGATACTCATAAGCTTTGCAATAGAAATCTGTGAATTAGCATTTGTTTGTGTCATTTGTCTTTTAAGTCTACATGATTATTCCTGGTTTTGACTCCAGTTGAGGCCAATACTGGCTGGGTGGTGTTGCCCCAGCAGTAGTCGGAGCTTTCGGTCTCCATACAGATGATTTTCTTTCTCCGGTCTATTTTCAGTGAGCCAGGGGAGAACAAACCCCGGAAACCAAAACCTAGGGAACAACCACAAACTGAGAATGATGCATCAAGTAGAGCAAACACCTCGAGGTAATGTAGTGACATTAAACAAACACAAGATGGACACAGAATACTGTCACAGCAGACCCACAACCAAATGTTTGTTTTCACATGAACGACGTGCAGTGCTCACACTCTCTGGAAGATGCTTTTGAAAACTTGTTTTGCAGTTGAATGACAGTGTATCCAACTGGCAGGACCTTGGGGCTTTTGTGGTTTGTTCTAATTTAAGATCATTCTGAAGTTGTCAAATCATTTCTGTAACACCAAAATACAGTTTTTCATGATCAATGAAATCAAATGAGTGTAGTGTTTATGAATTCATATTTTATTCAGACCAATAGTGGGAGTGTTTAAAAAAACAAGTAAAGAGATGAAGGAACTCGTTAAAAGTTTAACAGAAATTATTGAGCAACTGTCCCTGTTAATCTACAACTGGTTGATACCTAATCCATCTGATTTGCTGAGTGATTAACTTTTGTCCCTCTTGAATTTGGCTCTTTCACCTGCTCTCTAGTTTCGGTTTGAGCCAAGCCCCCAATAAAGTCACTGTATCTGTAACACAACATTTTCTGGAATAAGTAAATTTGGCAGCCACGTGCAAGGCTTGTGCAGGGTATGTTAATTACAACACACAGCATAATTATCATTCTCAGAAACTGACCCAGTCTAGTAATAAGTATTTTAAAATCTGTCTTGTGTCCTTTGTGGTACTTAAAGGAAAGGTTCTTTTTCTTTGTCTAAGTACAATACTCACATGCCACGTGCACATTGAGAGACATTGGTAGCTTTAATCATCCCTCCTCTCTCTGGCCATGAAGTGATCCCTTCCTAAGACAACAACTCTAGAGTACAAAATCCAGAGAAATGTAATTCCCACTTTTCTGCTCTTGCCTGTTAACTTAACATCTCTCTGTCTTTGTCATTGTTCCATGTAGCCGTCCCCCTAAGAAGGACTTTGTGGAAGTGACAGAGCTGACAGACATCACATACACCAGTAACCTGGTTAAACTGATGCCTGGCCATATCAATGTTGTACTGGTGCTCACCAATGCCTCCAAGAATGCTTTGCTCAGGAAATTTGCCAAGGAGGTTTTCTCTTTCTCCGGGTAGGTTTCTTCACTCAGTATTGAATTGATACTTTTTTATGGTTAAATTATTTGTGCATATCAGACAAAAAAAGTCTAAAGTGGGTTTGTGTCTGGTCTCTGGCAGACCTTTTTATAAGTGCATCTTTGCACTCTCTGCATTTTTTGTATAAAAAATAAATATGAAACTAAGGGTATAATCATGATAATAGCATTTATGTTCTTCATTATTTATGTGGTCTATTAAAAATACCCCAGTGGCCCCATTTTTCATCAACCATTGCTCGTTCCACCTCTTTAATCCCAAATCCCTCTGCCACAACAGGACTCAGACCCTCCACTTCTCCTTCCTCAATGTTGATAAGCACCGTCACTGGATGCCATCACTGCTTCGCTCAGCCTCTGACGCTGCCGAGAACGAGGCCCACTCTGATGAAGATGAGGAGCCTTCAGACTACGCAGGACACGTCTTGGCTCTCAATGGCTACAAGAAATACTTTTGCCTCTTTAGACCCGTCTTCACGGGGGATGATCCCAGCGACTCCTCATCTGAGACCTCATTCTCCTCTGACAGCAGGAGAAAGTCCCGCTCCAGGTCTAGGTCCAGCTCCCACTCTCGATCCCGGTCCCATTCCAGGGAGGACGGGGCTGGCCCCAAGAGAGGCTCCAGTAGGGCCACCAGCATAGAAGTCCATCATAAGCTTGACAGGCTGGGACTATGGATGGAAAGGCTAATGGAGGGCACCCTGCCCAGATTACAGGTCCCTGCCTGGCCATCTCTTGATGAGACCACTAACACCTCCCCCTCTGACAGCTGAAGTCAAAGTAAGATCGGTACGAATTGTAGCAATTACACTTTATGGTCTTGCCTCCTGATTAAAGTCTTTAGTAAGAAAACTGCAGAGTGTTGCAGATTTCAAATTATGAATTAAGTTCTTTGCAGAGTTAAGTTGCTGCACTGCACTGTTGCAACCAGTTTACACAATGTCTTGTTTCATCTGTTATAGTGTGGAGCTTATGGAAACCAATGGCCTAGAGTAGTGTGCAACAGCAAACCTTTAAACTGCACCTGTGTGCATCTTAAAGACATTAGAGTAACGCATGTCGAGGCAAAGGCAAACTCTGGGCTGTATGACACCACTTCAAGTCTTCTGTACAGAGACAGCAGGAGAAAATCTACAACAAAATAGATGAAAAATGTCAACATGTCTGAAATGAGTCTGAACAGTTGCACATAGACATAACAAGTAGCTCTCTCTCTCTCTCTCTCTCACACACACACACAGGTGGTGTATGTTGTTAGCTACAGTTGTTATTTTCTTCTTCTCTATTCTTGTCTCTTTACATGTATGAGGTGAAGTCACACAGCACGGGATAAGTGCAATTTTTTTGCTTAAGTACTTTGATCCATCCAGAGCCTTTAAAATGTCCTTCAAGCCTGATCACACCTTTTTACTACAGCCCCCTGTCATGAGTTTGACCTCTGGCATTATGTCCCTGTGATGGAGAATCCTGCTGTACATGATCACATCTCCACATAGAAGCAGGTTAATCAGAATAAAGGCTTGCAAACTGGGCCTGCTGCGCTAAACTTATAGATAAATCATTTTTTTGGGAACTTTTAGGAGCCTTCAGTTGAACGTGATTATTGACCTTTGTTTGCTATTAGAGATCTTAAACAACCTTTTTGATTCCAGATATATATCACAGCTTAGTAAACAGCAATAAACAATTTATTCACATAAAATCACTTACATTGACACACATATAGGATTTGTCCTGATGTTTTTCTGCTCAGACCAGGTTGCCATGTCTTGCTGCTGTTTTGGTTAAGGATTTAACATTAAATATGTTACATTTGAATTCTAAAGATGTTAAATGTCATTTTTGGTAAGTCATACTGAGAATGTTGAAATCTGCCTTTTCGTCACTACAGTTACTGTTTGTTTGGGGGCGATTTCACTTATTTTTTTAAGTTGTTGCCAGTTGTCTGAATCAGGGAGAAACGATAAATCATACCATATTATACCTTCCCTTTTTGAGTCTGTGTGCTCAAACCACTGTAAATGTTAATGCATGGAATAAGTAGACCTAAAATCACTAATAAATGTTAAATGAATTTGCACTGGCAATTTAAATGTTTCAGCCCCTCAGTCTCCTGTTTTTGCTCTGTAATTGAATAATTTGCTGCTCAGAAATAATATTTGCTGTACACTGTCACTCAAATCATTTTTTTTTCTTCAACGTCCTTTGTACTTGATTTACGTACCTATCCATCTGTAATAGTTTATTTAAATGTGTGGATGAGTTTGACCTGCTTTGATATTTATGTAATTTCCTTCATGCTTCTTTAAACTAATAAATATTTTTATCTACAACAACACAGCATTCAATATCTTAATGACTAATTAAGGCTGGGTGAATGACCTGGCTGCAGTATACATAGAGTCAATTTAAATATGACAAATGTGTGTTTACAACTAGCGGATAATACAAGAGCAAATATTTACCATGAATATAACCACTGCTAAGCATGGATACATGCCCCGCATGTTCATTAAACACAGTACATGTCATGGCAGCTCAAAGATACAACATGTATGTGTTTTTTGTACTGGAGTACAAGCTTGTTAGTTTTTATTTATTTTCTTCACGGACAGGTCATCAGGACCAAAGGAGATTGGCAGCAGCTCGTCCACAGTCATCTTCTTGTGCGAGCCGTCAGGCTTTGTCATGTACACATCCCATTTTGATCCAAACTGTACAGGAAAGAGAAAAGAAAAGTTCTCGTAGTTGCTAGTAAAAGGCAGTGTAAATATTGCCAGTCATTTAGAAACAAAAATTGCTGTCCTGAGAGAGCTTGATGCTGTACAACATCACTGACTGTAAACTAATTGCCTATTAAAAAATGCATTCAATCAAGCAGAGATGATACCTCTCTCATGACCTGTCTGCAGGCACCACATGGGGAAATGAACTTGTCCTCCATGTCACTGCAAAGAGCATAGAGAAAAAATGTAGCTGAGAAATAAAGCAATTGTGTTTTCAAATAGGCAAACAAGCACTTGATTATGAAATGTATCAATGTTTTTGTAACTTCTCTGTGATATTTCGGACTGATGATAGTGAGTCACAGTGTTGATTTAATAATTAATCTCATATTGCAGGATTTCCCACCCCCTTCTAAGTCTCTTTGCTCGATTATACATTTTCTTTTGCTCATTTACATGCAGCATGTTAACCTGCTGCTTGACAGACTCATGCGTCTCGTTCATGCCTACCCAGCTGGTCAGCTGGTTTTGATTGTCTTACATAAGACAGACTTTAGTTCTGAGAAGTAATGGGGCAAGGCTTACTCAATATTGGAAGGTCTGGTGATGTGCAAAAATAACTGAAACATAAGCTGATTTAGTAGTAGTAGTCATGGTTTAGTAATATCGAAATGTATATAGTGCAGGGAAAAGGTGTGGTTACCAGAACAGTTTTTTATTTCTAAAATGTGGTAAGTACCTAGCAATTGCAATAGCCTTGAAAGTTTTGTGGCCCTCTGATACTGCTTTTGTGATGGCAGTCCTTTCAGCACACACACCCAGGTTGGTGCAAGCATTCTCCACATTGCAACCTGCAGGAAACACAAAGGTTGTCATCAAATGTTTTTACTGCTGTCACATAAATAGTTAAAACCTGGAGTTGCTAAAAGGGGCAGTTTGCCATCAAAGGCACTGTCTGTTTGCTTCTTCTGCACTAGTCAAATAGTTACTCAGTGGGTCTTTGCTCTCACAGCTGCTGGCCAGTCATTTCCACTGAGGGACACGTGAGTTGCTAAGCTTTGCACAGTCCAGCAACTTGGACAGGACAGTGGTGTCTTTGCCTTGCTGTTGACAACCTGTCAGCATATACAAGTGTGACTTTATTAAATCAACAGGGATAATAAAAGAATTTAATGATGGGCTGTTGTAGAGAGACATGTTAAAATTTTATCTTTACCCTGAGTCCACTGATTTGACCTGACTGTTGTCAGGTAATCATTAACTACTTTTGAACTTTTAATTTGGAAACAAAACACAACAAATATCAAAATGGTAATATAAATGAAATTCTGTCACTTCTCCCTGCTTTAGGGTTAAATCTGCCTTCTTTTCATATTAGTTGCTATTTATTTGGGGCTGATTTCATTTATTTTTGTAAGGTGTTGCCAGTTGTCTGAATCAGGTAGGAACAATAAATCCTACTATATTATTCCTTCCCATTTAAGTCTGTGGCCTCAAACCACTGTAAATGTTAATGCATGGAATAAGTAGACCAAACATTATATTTTTTTTTCCTGTCCTTTGAACTTCATTTACATCCCTCTCCATCTGTAAAAAATGAGGTGTAACTTTTTTAATTAAAAGAAACTCATTTAAAAACACTTTATTTAAATGTGTGGTTGAGTTTGACCTGCTTTGATATTTATTCATTAATTTCCTTTATGCTTCTTAAAACTAATAAAGATTTTTATCTACAAGAACATGGCATTCAATGTCTTAATGTAGGTCAGTTGACTAATTAAATTGTTTGGCAGTGAATTGTTTGGCAACAGGTTTTGAAACTCAAGATCTGCTGATACTGTGGATTCTTTTAAAAGGCAGCTGTAGACACATCTTGGTTAATCTGTTTGTACCAGGTCTGTATTTTATGGTCTGTATTTTATCATTTTGTTAATATTTTTATTTTTTTAAATATCGCACTTACTCAGAGACATGAGGGAAGTGAGAGTGGATCAATGTGCTGACAACGGTCCATTATCAGTGTCAGTCCAGACCTCAAGCATTGGCAAAAAATTTGTTATTCAGATGACTCCCTTTCCTCTATTGCCAAAATTTTGTCCATTTACCAAAATGTTTTGTACTTTGTAGATATCATGCCACCAAAAAAGACACATCAGGAGCTCCTTAACCACAGCGCATCTACTCTGCTATCTACCTAACATCACCAGCCTTACATTTTTAGATTATCAATACTGATGCATCACTGGATTAGCAGCATTTTACTGTGGTTTTAAATGTGAAATCAAGGGGGTAGGGGGGAACTGCAACACCAGTAGGCCTAATGAATATAAAAATGTTGATGTTGGATGCAAAAATGCAAAAATATATATATTTTTTCCATTAACAAGTAATTTCCTAAAGTTTGATTTCTTTTAATCCTTGATTTGTTTCCTGTGTAGTTTTTATTTAAATGTAAATACAGGTAAATACGGATCTTAATGTATATACAGATCATATGTTAATAAACCATTCTGTTGACAGCAGTCCTCTTTGTTTTAGAGGGGTTGCTGTGTCCCTACCAATGTTGAGCCCAAACCCATGCTCCTTACTTAAACAAAGCCATGTAATACTGCAGCTCTGATAATAAGTAATAAGTAAAGAACTTGAGAGATACATTTTAGTAAAACATTTAATAACACAATTTGAGCAATTCAGCATTAATAGTTGACGATGAAACAAAAAGCAGATGTTCAATTCCTATTCATCCTAAACCTAAATTTCAAGCCTCACACCAAATATTCACTGTGATCCAACAAGGCCAAGTTCACATGTACTTTACCTTTAAAGTAACAGTCGTTGTCTGTCAGGAGAGCAGCCCCCACTCTGAACTTGCTGTAAGGACAGTAGGCTTGACCCTTTGCTTCCTGAGACTGTCTGATCAGTTCCCTGATTTTGTCTTCCATCCTTACACTTGGGCTTTCTATGACTGTTTTTGAGTCAGTGAATGAGTGTGCTCTTGCTCAGTTTTAAATGTAAATGGGACAGAGGGAAGGCGGAGAGGGTGCAGTCACAGCCAATCACTTGCTAGGATGTCAACATACTGTTATGAGGCAGTCACAGGGTCAGCTTTGTTGCTGCCATTAGTCAAGTTCATTTTTGAACAGTCATAATAGTAAAGGTGAGGTTTAGGCACGTTGCATGCCTGTCTCAAATAGTCAGTGTAAAATTTTGCTTGATTGCTTTTGTTTTATCTCTGTTGAGCATCAGGGTGCGGTAGGTAACCAAAAATAATTTCGGTTTCTCTTTAAGTCGGCTTCGAAAACCAAAATGTTCCCTGAGGTGAATGAGATCCAAGATCTGTGACATCACTTCAGAAAACACTACAAACACAATAGAATAACTATAAAGTACAAAGTGCATTGAACATATATGTAAGAATAGGTTTATTATTTCATAATAACCTCATAAGTCCTCTCTCTCTCTCTCTCTCTCTCTCTCTCTCTCTCTCTCTCTCTCTCTCAGGTGATATTCACTAAGTGGGAAAAAAGTGTGTATTCTTATCTGTGTGTGCTTAAATGAGTTAACACTTATGGAGTGTATGTCACAGATCAGTGTTTTGGCATTAAATTCATGTTTACATAAAGTACTGTATAAAAGACAACAAAAAAACCCCACTGGATCCATTAGGATCCATGCAAATCTTCCTCACAGTAGAGTCTTGTTATTAAGAATCTCATTAGCTGTTCTGGATGACCCAGTTGATCCATCCGTGGTAGTTTCTGACCTTGGTGTAGACGCCAGGGAAATAAGCATAGGCACAGCCGATGCCCCAAGAAACAATGCCCTCAAATTTACCATTACAGACAAGAGGTCCTCCTGAGTCACCCTGAGGATGGAAGCGTAAACAGAACAAGTTTTGTCAGAGTACTGCGCCACATTTTAATGTAAAGTAAAAGCTTGACAGATGAAACATATGAATGTTGTGTGGTTCTCAAGAGATCATAACTGAAAATGTGTGCTTGTCTTCTTGCTAAATTGTTGGTGTAAAAAGTCTTTAAAGGTGCATCAATTCATATTTTCATATTCACAGTGGATCAAGGGAAGAATCGAGAGAGTATTCACACCCGACTACAGGTTGCAACAGGTAACATTGTTTTGATTTGGCTTGCGTATCTGTTCTTATGAGCTGTTTCTCATTGTTTCTATTGTCATAGAAACCGGTTCCTGCTTGGTTGGTTTCTTTTTTCATTTTCTTTAGGTTAGGACTACTGTTGGTGACCACTCATCCCTAGATTTGACCAGTCCATAACACAACTTTGTGTCCAACAACAGCCGGCAGCTTTTTTCAGCAAAAAAAACTCTAAAACGATGTGTACACTATATGTACAGTGGGGTCAAACATAGTGAGCAGCTGGTGACCATAGTGGCTCCACAATGGCACTATTTAGCAGCTTAAGACCCAGATTGTTTTTTCTCAGGAGTCGGTGAAGACAAAATCATAAAAGGAAAATGAATATTGGACTTAAATTTGTCAGGTTGCCAGAAACATGACTCCAAAAAATATATTATTTTTATATAATATACATTATGATCTATAATAGTATGTAATATATTTATATTAGATTTCTGTCTACTGTTTTCTAACATGTTTGCCAACTTTATATAAGGTGATAGATATCAGTGTTGTGTTTGCAGCTTGTTCCACTGCCCCCAAGTGGCAAAAAAAATCTATCGATGTAGCTTTAACAGTATTAAAAATATCAATACCTGAAACAAACTGTTCTTGGTGTCAATCAATTTGAGAGCAATTGAGCTGAGCACAACTTTCAGTCCTGTGTTTTGAACCTTGATGGTGGGGCTGGTGATCTATGAAATATCGTAGTGAATGATACTGAAGCAACCTCCTCCCTAATGTGACATCAAAATTACCTTTAATTTAAACCTTAACGTATAGCCCAATAATGTTACAGTAAACTATTGAGTGATTTTCAGTATTACATTATTACATCATCACTCATCGCATTTTAAGTTTTACCCTATATTTCCATGTTTACTGTTCACCTGGAAGTATTTAATTATCAGTTGCTATGACAATCAAAAGAAATCTCACCCTCTCAAACAACCCCCACGTTGCACCACAGAGCGCCACAGGAAATCAGTTTAACTCTTCCCTCTGAGAATCGATCAGTCAATTGATTGATTCCTGGACAGTTTAAGACAAATTTCAGTTTACTGTAAATGGCAATGTAAATAATAGTAACTATGTATATAATGTTTATTTCTGACAGGGCATATTATTCTTATTATTTTTATTATTTTCTTTTACATTTGAATATGGGGGGTTATATTTTTATTATTTATTTTTATTATATTTATATGTGTGGAATTTGTGTGTATGTGTGGAGCATTGCAACACAGCAATTTCCCACAGGGCATTAATTAAGTACCATTCTGATTCTGAAACACAACTTTGTGGCTCACCTGACAGGAATCTTTTCCACCATAGATTGAGCCAGCACAGATCATGTTCTCTGTGATCCTGAAGTAGTAGTAGTACCAACAGTTAGAGAAGATGTCCACACTCACAGACCTCAGTACAGGTGAAAGTCTGTAGCTGTTCAGCCAGGTCACGCCCCAGCCGCTGACTGTGCACCGGGCAAGGTCAGCCAACGGGGGTGAGTCCGGATCTGGCAAAGGGGCCGGCTCGACCCTGGCATTGATGATAGCTGGCCGCTCCAACTGACCCACAGAGAAGGGAACAGTCATTCAGTCAGTCAACATAATATGCTAATACTTAAGGTAGCGTTGTATTTGCTAGTCACATCACAAAAGGAGTTTCTGCAGTGTGAGTAAAGAGGCTTATTGCTCTTCAAAGTGACTTCTGCTTGCTGAAACAGGCTCTAGTTCAACAGCCATAGGAGGGATCACTTTGGTTGTGTTTCAGTTGTTGCAATACACTGGAACTTCAGCTCAGTAAGTCAGTATTCTTACTGACATCAAACAGCCCCTTCCCACTGTGTCATAGGAAATGAATAACACGAATAATGGGTCATGGGAAGTATTTTCTAACAAGCTGATATAAATTAATGGTTGATGGTTGAAGTGTTGTCACTACAATGCAAAATAAGATTTTACTTTAAAGTCATTTGAATCGGCTACTTCCCGACCATCAACAACAAAATGCTGCTTTACTTTGATACTTTAAGAATATGTAGCTGATAATACATTCCAACATTTACTTGAGTGAGATTTTGAGATGGAAAAAATGGAGAAGGCCACACCAAAGTCTAGTCAAGACAGAGAAACAAGATCACAAGGTCCTGACAGAGGAAGACACAGAAAAGGAGATAGAACCTCCACAAGCCCACTCTATCCTGAATATTGGAATGGAAGAATTGCTTATTGACTATTTCACCTGCATGTCACCAAGACCTGAACCGTCAGCTACAACAATGGATCCACAGCCACAAAGCAAGGAAGCCCAGCAAGAGAAAAACAGAAAGAAGAAACAAAAATTAAACAAAAAAATTATTAAAGCTAATTATTAGAGCTAATAGTAAGAGATATACTCAGTGAATTTGGAAAGAAGCACAAAAATATAGGATTAATTTCTTAAGAGAATGAATTAAGAGGATGAAATGTGTGGATGATTGTTTTGCAAGTATGTTAATCAAAGAAAATATATAAATGATTTTGGAAACTATTGTTTGATAAAGGGTTGATCTTTTTTCCAATGTAACTATGTGAAATATGGAAGTGAAAGTATTGTGGAAAGTACCAGAAAGGTTGAGCGGAAACAGATGGCAGGAAAATCAAAATAGCTGTTATTGGCAACATTTGGCAAGATCCTGGTTGATGCCCAGAGCACTCGAGAAGTGACCTAACCAAGTCTGCAGAATTTGCAATAATCTGTGGTATTTTTGTCATTTAGCCAACTGCTTGTGTCAAAAGCCTGATGACGCTGATCTTAGCTCCACCGAGTCTATCTGCTAATACAATAGAATAAAATAGAATAGAATAGAATAGAATAGAATAAAATAGATCTTCATTGTCATTGTTAACAGAAAAAAGTATGTTAAAGAACAAAAGTCAATTTAGCAGCTCTCTTTATCAAGGCAACTTTTCATCTAATGTGAGATGTCCAGAGGAACAGCACACATTCTTCGATTGCCTGGGGACACTGTGTCACTTCAAGCAAGAATCCCAACAAAAGAAAACTAACTTGCGAGGCGGCCACTCAATTCATACAAGACTCACTGAAAGGCGTGGACGAAAGTGTGCAAAAGCACAGATTGTGTGTGACTGGTCAGGTCCATAGACGTAGGCTCCCTTCGGTTGGTCTAGACTGGCAGCAATAGTACTTGCATATTAAATTTTATCCAGCAACCATAATGACTGTTACACTTTAGAAGGGATCTGTTCTTAACCAAAGTGTTTTCATTGAGTATTCTTAGGTATTCTGAGTAAGAGTGCGAGTGAACAGGTAGCGGTTTTGGGAAGAAGACAGTTAGTAGCTGGATGAATCTCTTTCGCCTCAGTCTATATTTCATGATATACTATACACTGTATGGTTCAGGTGCTGAGTCAGGCAGGCTAGTCTTTACCACTTTTACATGAGGGCTGAGCAGGACTCCTGTACTGGATTGCCTGAGTAAAGACAACAACAACATTAATTTGACCTTGTTGTGTTGGTACTTTTACTTAGGTAAAGGATCTCAATACTTTTTCCACAACTGGTCTTCAGAGACCACAAGTTTGTAGCTGACAATATGCATTTAAAACTGGGGCTGTGAAGTTCAAAATACATAGTAATTTACCCACAGGGAAGATCCAAGGAAAAGATACTAGTGAGTTGCATTATGGGAGAAGTAGGATTCAGTATTATTTGGAATTTGATCAATACCAATGACTAAAAGTAAGGGTAATATATTTACCTGGACTACTTTGATTATGACCGTTGTTTAAAATCTGTCTCTTGTGTGAGTCCCTCAACTTTATGCTTATGCAATACTACATTACTGGAGTAACTCTTACAGTTAGTTGATCCAAATAGTGAGCATTTAAAGTATAATCCTTAATCATTGGCCTACAGTCTGTTTTCACTTTTATGAATTGTATCCATGGTTACCACGATATGACACATGTCCATTGAGGAGCAGAGCAAATGAGGAACACAACAGACCAAACATCATTTATAAATGTAAAATAATGCTACATGTATACTGTATATTAATTAGCCAAATGACATTTTTCACTAAAGTCTGCCTCACAATAGTGCTGCAGGTCACTGACATACCTGGAATCACAAATCAGTATATACCTTAATCAGTATCTTAAATTGGTTTCAGCTCATGCTTTGAATCACAGTGTGTATATCAAATCCATATCTGCATCAACACATATTCCTCTGCCAGCTCTTACCTTCAGCAGCATGATATCATTGTCAAACGTCCAGTGTTGGTACTGGTAGTGCCTGATGACTAAGGAGACATTGAAAATCTGCTCATAGCCCTCCACCTTGGTGATACTGTGTTCACTCAGGACCACTTTGATCAGGTGACTCCTACAAAAACACAGTAGAAGACAAAGGTCAAGATTTTGAAGGTGCATCGTGTTTAAGGTGCAGGCTCATTGACTTCTGATCAGATAATCCATCCATCATCATTCTTATGAAGCCACAAAAAGGTTTCAAAAAGCTTTGAGATTCAATATCATGGGTGCTCGGTAAATCTGGCCCTCAATGTGAGCGCCACAGGTGTAAAACGGCAGTGACTTACGGCCTCCAGCAGTGGGCAGCAGATGCCACCCACTGTGGGTGGATGAGCGTGCCTCCACAGAAGTGGTAGTTCATGAACCGGAGGGAAGCTTGATACTTGATGGAGTAGGGCTCTACCTCTGCACCCCCGATGATTCTTTTCCCATAAACACCTAAAAACCGAGGAGGGGGTTGGGTACACAGAGACAGAAACGCCTATATCAAAGACCATATTCATCAATGAAACATTGCTCTATTCAAAATTCAACTAGCTCGTAACTTTCAGTTTTTACTTACATATGAAGTTGTAGTCAATTTAACAGACAGTATATAATTGTATGCTCAGATGCCATTGTTTCTTACCTGTTAGGTTAACTACAAGCAGAAGGAGCAGTGAGAGATGACAGGATGGAGCTGACTTCATCTTTGTAGCTACTAAGAAAAAAGGAAAAAAGCGGATTAGAGAAAAACTTGGATCGAATTAGAAAAGAGCTTTGCTTGTCTCACATTCACATTCATTTATTATTGGACTCTTTTTGTAAGGAAACTGTGTTCCTTTGATTGAAGACTTCCTGCATTATCCACCACTATGAACAAAAGTAGTACGTGCAGAATGCAGATAGTGCAGTGCCAATCCCTGCTTCACTGCACAGCAGATATCTATGTTATTCTTTGCTACTGTAAGATTTGCAGCCAGATTTAGAGCCATTCTGAAGAATAGAAAGTCCAGAAACCTGTCTTATTTCATGTAGTATTACAGATGATTTGGTGTGCATTGAGACAAGTCGAGCTGCTACAACTAAGCTCACGTTTGTTTAGTGGTTTAAAGTTTATAGTTGCAAGTAAAGTGGGGGACACTTCACAGTAATGCCAATGCTATTTTATTTTGAAGTTTCTGCTCTGTATTCTCCACATGGCAGTGCTTAATCCACAGTCCCATCAAAAGTAATACATAATCAAACTAAAATCCATTCTGTACAAAGTTGCCTCACCTTATCAAGAATCAAGTAAGAAAACAGTCCAATTCCAACATCCACACACTCTCACACACTCCTCTCATACCGGGACATACTACAACTCTAAGGCTTCTTTTATACTGTTACCATGCCTGTCATTGTCATTGTTCCCTGCCATTGTCCAACAAATATCTAAGTTACTCGCTCACACACAGAAATCAGAGTCTGACCTAGTACAGGGAAAAAAAAAAAAAAAAAAAAAAAAAAAAACAGCAACCTACACACGGTCTTTCATTACGCCTGTCTTTCTAAGGCCTTTGTCCTCACAGATTCAGCCTATTGTCCAGTTGTGGAGACAAAGTGAAGCTTAATGGAGATGAAACCCAACAAGCCAGAGAAATGATAGAATATACTCTCCAGACATGTTGGTGCTTTATCCAGTGATGTTACAGAGGGCAGGACAAAAGTTGGTGTGATATCTGAGTATGATAACAACGTGAGACCTAGCAAGACATAACAGCATGTATTCTTGGCTTGAACAAGGAAAAGCCTCTTCTCAGAAATATTATTTAATAGAACTGAGAGTAAGCGTGCTTGACCATGTCATGTGCTCATATGTCTATGTACTTCTGCTTTCCCGTCAGTCAAACAAAGTCAAACAAATCATTTTTATGGTAAGAGGTGCTAAATCAGTGCTACAACCTGGCATGATGTGCTCATGTTGATAAGTCTTATCCAGTGGATATGCACTGTGCTGTAACTCCTGTCTTCAGTGTCCTTCCTCTCGTCTCCCTGCCTTTTCCATATCCCCAGGTGTCACTCTCACTCCCAACAGGTTTTTTTTTTTCTACACACGGGAGCATTTGGTTTGTAACTCATAGCCTCCATACAGTCTACACTCCCAAAGGTGTCACTTCATCTGTGAAGGTGAAAGGCGATAGCGTGCTTCCCTCTCACTCAGGTGCAAAGCTGAGGTGACAAACATGATGCCTTTCTCTGTGTGTGTGTGTGTGTGTGTGTGTGTGAGAGAGAGAGAGAGTGAGAGAGTGAGTGAGTGAGGCCTTGTAAAAAACTGCATGTGCAGTACATACATGTCAGTAGTGAGTCTGGGAGGAGCACGTGTCTCTGAAATGTAATCAGAACCCAGACTTGTTTTGTCCCATGCATTTTGTGTTGATATAAAAAAGACTGACTATGTGTCTATTAGTCCAATGATTTCATCTGTATCTTCACATTATGTTGACAGTTTTCAGTGACCAAGCCAGACTAAATTATTGGTGCACATTGTTAATAAAGCAACCGGGCATAGCAAAATCCTTCTGGTCATAAAATATAGTTTCAACCGTGAATTTAAATGGTCAGTTTACCCAAATTCAAAAAACATAGTTTCTCACGCATCTCTAGTCGTCTTGGTTTTTTATATATCTCTCTATAGGATTTCTGCATCTACTCCAATACAATGGAGGTGAATGGAATTTCAGTCATGGTGCACCTCAGTGGGCAATATTTTATTCTATATTATTATATTGATATATATATATGTATATATATACATATACATATACATATACATATATATAATGATAAAGTACATTTTTTGGGAAATCAGTTGAGAGGCAGTTTATGTAGGGATGTCTGTTTTTAGGTAATGCAGCAAATTAAAGATTGGGGTATTTGATTCTAGAATCATTAAAAAAAATCCAATATTGCTGTAAAGCAATGGGTTTTTAATTTGTAGCCTTTCCTACAATGGCCAAATACATTTTGAGATGTTAAAGATATAGATACCTTTGTATGAAACATATGGCATTTCTTTGATGGTTGGTGAATTTATATCATCTCAAGGTATATCATCATGTCATCCAAACCTATAGCTCAGTCAGTAAGTGAGAGAAGTAAGGTAAGTAAGGTAAGTGAGAAAACATTTTTTGTCACTTGGCTTAGCTGACCTTTTAAAAATGCCTTCATATTGTAAAGACCAACTTCAGGTTAAATGCAATATTTCGAAAATATTTGCTTAAGTCATCTTTGCTTTGTCTGAATTTGTGAAACACAAGTCATAACCTTATGTTTGAAGGTGAACGTCTGAGAAGTCAGGTTAGTGTTGGTCCAGGAAACACCTGACAGTGGGAGGCCACACAAAGCCGTCGCTCCCATTCTACTGGGTGAAGCATCAATTATTTAGCTCGCTCTAAATGTGGGACAAGAGGAGGTCAGGCGAGATTCTCCTCCCATGCTGTGGATGATGCTGACTTACCAGACGGCTGATGATGATGATGATGATGATGATGATGATGATGACAATGATGATAATGATGATGATCAGGCTGATGATAATGAGTTATTAGAATGCCGACGTGGATTCAATGATCACTGATGATTCATATTTATACAGAGAAACAATTGTGTGTCTCTGCTGTCTAGAATGCCTCCGTGCAGACATGAATCTCTCCACTGCTAGAAAACAAAGCCATGCAAACACACACACACACACACACACACACACACACACACACACACACACACACACACACACACACACACACACACACACACACACTCACACATGCACACATGCACACAGTAGGCCATTGAAACATTTCAGCACGGATAAGCCCGGATGATGACACAGACAGAGCATGCTGATACAGTATAGATGAACCCGCTCGGCACAAGACCCTGTGTTGCCATGGCAACAATGTAAAGCCTTTCGACAAGTCAGGAGGGTCAGGAGAAAGAGTTGTGATAGTGCTGGGATGGGAGGGGGGAGCGCTGGGAGGTTTTTGAAGGTGAACTTTGGTGTTTCTCTCTCATCGCTTTCCTTTTCAATCAATGCTGCAGGGTTGGACCCTGGTGCTACATGATGAACGATGAAATTAAAAACTTTTTTTTCCTCCCTGGAAAAAAGTGACTCCTACTGTTTTCAGTAAGGAGTAGATGCTTGGGCTGGGCCAGCAGACAGGAGCAGAGCACATAGGTTCTCTGGCTGCAGTGGTTTATCTGGTGGTATGGTAAAGGATAGCATCCCTAAACCTCTACAGCTGTGATGAACCTGCTCATGTGTTTGTGTGTTGTGCTGGTGGACCTCGTGACAGTTCACAGTGAGTACAAGTTTCTCAGTTTTGTGAACATAATGGTATGCTTTGCTCAGCTTTAAATGTTGCTTAACTTTTCATTAAACAAAGAAGTGGCCAGTTTCATGGTTTTGCTTATCAACAGGCAACCAGCGGGCAGCTTTTGATTTAAACTGGTCTACTTCCTTATTTGAAAGGGAAAGGAAAGGACATTTTTTAAGGGTTTTAATAGTTCAACATGTGCTTATTGAGACTTATTGAGCTTATTGATCTTATTGAGAATTTTGATACCACTCTCATGTCTGTACGATAAATATGAAGCTAACGCCAGGACCCAGTTAGGTTAGGTTAGCTTAGTGTAAAGGCTGGAAATGGAGGGAACAGCTTGCTATGTACAAAGGTGGCGAAATCCTACCTGCACCTCTAAAGCTCACTAATTAACACATTTTATTTCATTTTTTTAATCTGTACAAAAAATAACAATTCACTGTTTTACAGGGGTTAGTTGCCAGACTGTTTCTTGGCTGGGAGCAGGAACATCCTGAGTCTCTTCCGGTTGCCTGGCAACTGGTCTGGTCCCAGCAAGTAATAGTCCAGCACATAGCTCCCCACAACACAGCAAACTGTCATTTTAATACTTGAGTGTTTGTACGGATTAAACAAATGAGATACAACTTTGTAGTTAGTAAACTTTACTGCACACTGGCTACCTGTCCCCCCCTCCTCCTAGTCTTTACACTCAGATAAACAGATTCAAGCTGCAGCTTTACTTTATTGTACAAACAAAGAAAATAACCACATTTGTTTAAATTGCTTTCCATTCCTTCACAGAGTCAACAGGTTAGTTTGTGATTATTCCTCATCACTGATCATCAAAAATTCAAATGTATTTCCCTCCATGGTCACAGAAAGCAATTGTAGACATTTCCAGGACATAGCCTCAACTGTTCCCATCATGTCTCCGACTGTATGGCCTGAAGCCAATGTACAGTTGTTGAGCTGTTGCATAAGGCAGGTGGGGAGAGCCCCCACTCTAATGTTTCAGAGCCCAGAGTGAGGTGGTGACACTAGAAGGTCAGGTTATATTGGATTACATTCATTACGCAGTGGCCTCCCAGGTGACAGAAAACCACTAATTGTTAGGCCGTGGGGAAGGGGGGATTTAGAGGGCCTCACTCTTCATGTTTCTCTTTTGTTCACTGAAGACTCTCCATGTTTTCTAAGATGGACTTTTTAAGTGTGACTGAAATGCATACCTGGGGGGAGCTGTTACTTGCAGGATGTTTTGGATATTTAGCAGTTCAGATGAAAGCATGAATTAACCATTTTAGTTTCTGATATGAAAATGATGTATTTGTATCATGTTTCTACATAAGAATGGAAAAGTATGGTAT